TTACCTTATTTTATTTAGTAATAGTACAAATGAAATAAAATAAGACATGATCAAACAAAATTAAACCAGAATTTGCATTATTTTCATTTGCACTCTCAAGCATTTATAATAGTGCAAATAAAATTGTGCTACAACCAAGCACAGCCTAAAGAGTATAAATACAAATATGTACAATACAAACATATATTGAATAATACAATATACAAGATTTTAATTGCACTCTACTTATTGTATTTGCACTCCTTCCAAGCTAAGCCTAAGGCACTTTTCAGTTGTATCAAAAGTTTTTTCTCTTATATTGTATATTTTGAGCTTTGTCATGGAATCTTGTTCCATGTTCTTCACAGCTGCTATCATTTCAAGAGCTGGTATTATTGCCCTAGCTGATATATTTTTTTCAAATATCAGAATACATGGCAACTGGTGGTGTTTCATAATCTTTAATGGAATGATGGGGAATAATAAATATAATATGGGCAGACTTTAAGTGGAATATGATGGAAACATGATGTTGGTACCTACATAATAGGGGTGCTCACGATCTGGTTTTGGTGTGGTTTGGAAAAGATCTCAGACCAAATCAGTAAAGTACGGTTTGAAAATTTTCTAAATCGAATCAAACCATTTTGGTATGGAAACCAAACTAAACCTAACCGTTTTATTACAGTTTTCTAAACCCAATTAGAAAACTCAAATAGCTCTCCTAAAATTAAAACTTAAAACTTTTATTTATTAATTTATTATAAATTTATGCATTCTATTTAGATATATTATATATAATGTTTATATATCATATATTCATATTATATATATATATATATATATATATATATATATATAATTTTGATTTACGGTTTACGGTTTGGTTCAGTTTATAAAATTTAATAAACCAAACCAAAACTACAAACTGCAATTTAGAAAATTCTCAAACTGGACTAACCCGTTTATAGGTATAAATCAAACCATAAATTTGATTCGATTCGGTTTTGCAGCTTGACTTGTATAATGAACACCCAAAGATAATGCTTTATATAACTCATTATTTATATATCTATAATAACAATAAGGGGGCGTTCTTTTTTCTGGATTTTGAGAGGGGAGAAAGTTGGTCAATGGGATTTTGATTCCCATTGACCAAGAACCCTGTGTTCTTTTTTTAGGGGAAGTTTATTTTTTGGGTATGGGTAAATAACTTTCCCACCTGGAGAGAAAATTGTCAACACTTGAATGAGACAAAAATGTCCCTTTTAACAATGGAATTTTATGGCTAAAATGGTCATTGCCTTATTTATATGGGAATTTAAAGAACATGGGCAAATGTGCTCACCTGGGTAAGTCTTTCCTGAAAAACACTTACTCGGGTAAAATAACTTATTGAAAAGCAAACATGGGCTAAAGAATTTTTGTGGTTGCTGATGGTTTATTGGAAATCATGGATGGGTGTTGCCTGGTAGGGGTCTCCCTAGAGTGGCTGAACTCTCCGGTGTTTAGGATCCATTTGGTTTGCAGGAATAGAGATCTGGAATCGGAATCAGAATGGGCTATTCCGATTCCAACTATTTGGTTGGGCGGAATCAGAATTCCATTTCCAATCCTGCTGGAATGACAAGGGGATGGCCATTCCCTGTCCCTCCCTCATGAATGAAATCCTATTCCTGCTGATTTTAATTCCCATTTCCATTTCTATCTGAATCAAATAGACTATGCCAATAGACCATTCTGATTTCGATTCCAACTACAAACCAATCGGACCCTTAGTTTTGTTTGTTTATTGTTTCATTTTTTTTAAAATTATTGCCCTGGCTCAGCTTCCATCACAATTCACACACGATGGCCATCCAACAATAATCGTATGGATCGGAAAATAAGTGGCAAAGTAATAAGGCGTAGGTAGTAGTTAGCTGTCTCGGGGTTCCAGAAACAAGCTTTAACTTTTGCCAATTTTTTATAGCCGTCCTCTATAAAGTTGTTCAGTGTACCTGGTCATCCCATCTGCGACCTGTGTTCCCGTGTTATACCCGACCGATGAAGAATCTTCAATCTTGACAAGAAATTGTCACGTCAGACAAAGACTATTTTATACTTTTTGATACATTATGCAACCCGGTCCGTACTATGGGGATATAATAATTTATCCTATTTTTTTAGATTTTCTGGCGCAACTGCGTTTATGGGGCTGCGCGGACCGCCAGACGAAGCCACAGAGGAAACCACATATCCCACCAATTGCGTCCCCCAAGACCAGTAGAAACTTCAAATCCACATCATGCTTCCAACCTTTGATCCCAGAGGCGGGAGGCGGGTGACTTTTTCATTCAAACCCACTTTAATTATTTGCTCCCTCCTTTGCACTATTCTACAAATAAGTAGCAATTGATTACGCCATTACGCTTTCGTCATCGGTCATTCTCGTCTAGCTAGCTGCATGCGGCTACCTCACAGTCAGTAATCCCGATTCCCGAATTCCCGCTACCACCTAAAACTAAATCCCTTAATAAATTAAAAATGGGATTTCGAGGAGATTAAAAGACGTGAAAAAATACCCGAACTCGACTCGGAGGTATGTATGTATGTAGTGGTTCTTGAATCTTAACCTTACGCCTTTGGTGTTGGGATGACAACATTTTCTTTTCCTGTAACAGAGAGTAACGTACACTGTTCTCGGCATCGATCAGACATGTACAGCCATATATCTTTGAAGACGATTCAGATTTCAGAATTGAATCACCAATTCACCATGCATGATGGTTGTTCTAGGGAGGTTCTCACTGATTGAATGAACTGGAGAGCGGAGACCATGCATCCTGCGATCATCTGATGTATATTAGGGAACATGCATGCAATTCCAAACTTTTCCCCACCTTTTACACACATGGATATGCCCCCCACTCCCCAAGTTTTCCCACTTTATATCTTTGGCTAGGGGTAGCCCCCATCCCAGGTACAATAATCAGGTTAGGCTAATTTTTGGCCCCCAATTATTTTAGAGAAAATGTTATTAGGTAGTTAGAATTAGGGGTGGCACTTTTTATCCCAATCCGCTGAACCTGCCCAATCCACCCATGTTGTGTGATCAATTTATTATCTAATTCACCCATTTAAATGGATTGGGTTGGGTTGGGTTGTGGATAACTATTGGGTTAATCATTATAGATATAATTATTAATTTTTTAGTTTTTTTTTAATTTTCTTCATTTGAATTAAATAATTTATAATTAATGTATTAATTTACTATTAATAATTGACTAAATTTAGTTTTGTCTTGAATTAATACACTTCACCCAACATAAATCCAAATCAATTTGACCCGATTCCGAACCAGTTCAACGCGGTTTGACCCGATTTAGCATATTCTGATCCGGGTTGACTCGAATCCGAAATAGACAACGAGCAGGATGGTTCGGTGCTGCTTGCTCTGTCCTATGATATTCACTCCGACCCGACCTGGTACAAGTCAATTCGGTTAACTCGAATCCGAAATGGTTTGTAAGGGATGATTCGATCTCCGCGTGCTTTGCCCAATCTAAACCGTCCGTTCAACCAATATCCACATGACCCAGCCCGAATCTGAACAAACCCGCTTTAGCTACATTGCTTCGGTTCAGGTCAGCTAGTCCGGTCCCAAACCCGTGCACAAACCTGATATGATCCGATTCAAGTCAACCACCCTTGAACCTAAGTGGTTTAAGTTGGTATGGCCGGTTTGAACCTAAGTGGTTCGATCAAACCTAGAATCCGAACATAGTCAAATGGTTTCGCCGCTTGTGTAAAAATAACATGCATGTAATGTGATTTGAAACTTCACCACTTATATAAATAATAACGACAATAACCACCAAGCTACAACCAACTTATTTGTTAAGAGAGAGAAAGAGAGAGTTTATTTTTTAAATCCATAAATATAAGATTAATGGATTTGGGCGGGTTGAATTGGGTTAAAGCGAATTTGGGTTGAACCCAACCCATTTAATTTTATATAACTGAGTCATTAATGGATTGACGGATTACCCAATTGCCACCCCTAGTAAGAATCACATTAATACTGATTTATCTCAATCATGACCCAATTTAATTTCTTGAAATTATAATTATAACTTTAACAAAATCCATTATTTTGTTTAAATTAGATTTTTTAGGTTGGACTTTAATTAGAATGACTTATTTACTTATATATTATGGAGTTGAATTAAACAATATCTCAATCTTAACTTAGCCCAAAATTTAATAGGATTCATATTTTTTAACTTTAATCTTAATAGAAACTTTAAACAGAATTTTCTGATTGGATTTTAATTATAAAATACTTCTCACAGGTGTATTTTAGAAATTTCCACTTAATCTCCATTCTCTAATATTTTTCATCTCTCATTCTCTTACCCCCCTAAGAAAAAATTCCTCGCTCTCTCCACTGGTTACACAAAAAGTGTATGCGTGATTTGATTTGACTATCTCATTAATTCTATTCAAACATTCAACTACTTGTTAAAAGCTAAAACCCTGTCAATGTTATGCCCACGCGATAATGGCCCCGTAAGAAAAAATTCCTTCAAATCTTGTAAAGAAAACATCTCCCAATAATAATATCAGAATCGATGATATCAATAAAAAATATTCTAAATACACGGCGGAGATATGCTGTGAGGGGACCCCAGCGGAGATGTGAATTCATCGGATGTGCTAAATTAAACCTGCCAAAGCCAAACTACAGTCTCTCTCTCGCGGACACCCTTCTCAGTCCCTTTACTAAATTCTCAGAAATTTAAATAAGGAGTATCTGAGTATATATATACTTTGTGCTGTATAGAGCTTAGAACTTTCTTAACCTTAATCATGAAGCCACCACATATTCCACCTTTATTAGCAATAGGATTAATTTCTTGAGCGTAAGCATTATTATCATTTTACGTGTCGTTTACGACACCTCTCTCTCTCTCTCTCTCTCTCTCTCTCTCTCCATAAAAGCTATATATCTAATCATCGTATGGTCTCTTCCTCGTTCATCTGCATCCCTCCTGACTCCTGTCTTCAATGACCTTTCGGCCATTAAGCCGCCGCCTCCTTTTTCTTTTTCTCAGACCCGACCTCTGTTTTCCACACAAATCATCACCTTCTCTTCCTCCTTATCTTAAAACAAAACTTCTTCATGGAGAACTATTCAATACTCTTCCCGTGTTCATCATCATCGTCGGCAGCAGTAGCTGTTCCATTCTCCTCAAACATGGCAAATTCTCGTATTTTTGCTGATCTTAATGACACCAGTCCAGCTGGGTTCTTAGGATTGAAGACGGAGACGGATGCACATGCACCACGTTCAGATGTTAAAACCCTTCTTCAGAATGAAAGCTTTGGCCGGCCTAAAAGTGAAACGAAGCTCGGTATCAATAAGAAGGGTGATCAGAAGAAAATCAGAAAACCCAGATATGCTTTTCAAACAAGAAGCCAGGTCGATATACTTGATGATGGATATCGATGGAGGAAATATGGGCAAAAGGCTGTGAAGAACAACAAATTTCCTCGGTTAGTTATTCTTCGTCTTATTTTTATTTATTTATTTATTATATATTATTTACATGTTCGTGAATATTTATGAAGATTTGATTTTCCTTTCATTTCAAATCTCTTGGCACTAGAGACGTCATTATCCTTTTCATTTCCTTGCACTACTTCCCTTGGCTATATTTGGTTTGAAGTAAATGAAGATATCAAAACCTATACAAAATTTGTAAAGGTTCCCTTCCTTTCTCTATTTTTTCCTTCAAACCAAACGTAGCCTTAAAAAAGTGAAATTCCACCAACTCAAGTCGTTCAACTTGCGAAAGATAGGTAGCCCACTATCTAGATTACTTTTAATCTCGCAATTGAAAGCCAAAAGTCTTCCTATTGTTTCTCTTCTCACCGATCCACCCGTCTTCGGATAGTTAAGACTAGAAAGATAATAGGTTTTTAAGAGGAAAAGAACAGGCCGTATGAATGATGCGCAGAAAAAATTAAACTCATTCACTCTTAAGGTGGAAATTAAGTTTTATGAGGACTCATTTTCCATTATTTGTCCCATGAGCTCTGCTGAAGGACTACTACGTACTAATGCTATTTTTATTATGGCTCTCTGCAAGTATTTATTTATGCTGTTTCTTTCGTGGTGAATGTGCGAAATTACCAAGATGATTATCAGTTCCTCTTGTTTGCGCGCTAATGGATCGTCTGTATCCATAAAGACATTTTAGGGTGCATTTGGCAGTCTGAATCATTTGAAATCAAAATAGGAATGATCTATTCGATTTAGATAAAAATGAAAATGGGAATTGAAATAAGCTGGAATGGCCGGAACGGAGGGGAAGGAATGGCATGGGGGAATGCCATTCGATCAGGAATGGGAATGGGGTTCTGATTCCACTCGATCAGACAGTTAAAATCGAAATGGTCACAAACCAAACGGGGCTCTGATTCCGGTCCCGATTCCAAACCACTATTCCCACGAACCAAACGGGATGACCTTAAATTCTTTCCAAGGCTATTTTATATTTTGCATTTCTTTTATAAAATACTCAGCAATGAATATCCACGGGTGCATTATTATTATTATTATTATTATTCTTATTCACCTCAATCGATCAATTGAATGAGAGTTTAAGCCACATGATAGTTGGAGCCAAGCTATTTGATCTATGTAGAAATATATTCAACTATACATTCTCTCCCATGCACACCGATCAGGAGACTCGAGGTGATAAAAATCAACTTCTTATTTAATGTGAGAAAAGAGTAATATCATGATTTCACGGCAAGAATAAATTAAGAATTTTGCAAGGATAAACGAGTATGGAGGCATATGGACTACTAAAAACACAAGAGATTTAGAAGCATCTCATGGATATATAGATATATATATATATATATATATATATATAATTTGTTCAAAGATTAATCAAGTGAAGATGCATGCATGACTATTGTTTGATATCATTGTTGTTTTTACCTGAACCATTTTGAGTTAATGAATGTAAATTGGCATACAATTGTTATTTGAAGCTATTAAACTCAGGGGGTGAAGTTTTAATCATTCTAGCTGAAATATATAACTCTCACATGTGATGTATTGTTTGACAACACATATCAATGAACATCAATCTACTAGTTCAATATTTCCTCAATATACAAAGGGAAACAAGTTGAAGGTGCTTTCAAGGGTATGCAATAGGGAACAAGCACGCAAGAAGAAAGAAGAAACATTAGGATTCTACATGTACAGAAAATTAGAGAAAACTAGGAGAATAAAATACCATATTTTCTGATATTGGTATAAATGCATCCATGGAGTAGTGATTCAAAGTTGAAAAGACAATTGCATTGTTAGGAATAATTTCATATTTGTGAAGTATAATTGATAGTGAAAATAGAAGTGCATGCAATTACTTGATTATATATTTCTAGTTTTTCATATGTGAAGTGAGGTATAATAGAAATTTGAGCAGCTAACAAAAGAATCTCTTCTGATTTCCTTCTTGTCAACCACCCTAATCTTCAAGTCCTTCCTTGTTCCCTCCGATGCCACTAACTCAAGTAACAGATAAATCTAACCATAGATGATTTGCTCTATCTGATATAGAAATGTGGCGTGCCTCCCTTGGTTTAACCCGGCCGGCCGTTGATTACATCTCTGAATGGCTTTCACCTTAATTTCCATTGATATCATGTGGTTCCTAATTTGCTCCATGGATTACATATTTGCCGCATACTCATGCTCACTAAACCTTAATTGGATGGACCAGCAAGAAAACCCTAAATACTTAATTGACACAAGATGCTTCAACTAAATTTAGCTTTAGTGCGGAAACTAAATTTATTTTTGAAATTATATTCTAATATAATTAATATATTGCTAAGCATAGATTAATTAAATAAACTGATATTTTGTATATTAATTATTTGCAGGAGCTATTATCGATGTACGCATCAAGGATGCAATGTCAAGAAGCAAGTTCAACGCCTATGCAAAGATGAAGGAATCGTCGTGACAACCTACGAAGGGATGCATACTCATCCAATTGAGAAATCTACGGACAACTTCGAACACATTCTGAGTCAGATGCAAATCTATGCTTCCTTTTAGAATATTGGTCTTTTCAAATTACATATAATTAATATAGAGAGGATTTGTTCCTTTTTTTTTTTTTGTAAATTATGTAACTTAAAACTTGACCACCCGAATATGAAATAAAAATGGGCAATTGGGGTGGAAATAAATAAAACCATAAATTACAGTAATGGTAGGGGTGGTATGTGTTAAATATTAAGGGTATTTGATGCATTTCTTGGACCAATATATAATTACTCAGTATTAGGCATTATAATCTTTTAATTATGTTTGCAGATGTTTTATATTTTTCATTTGTCCACGAGAAAGAAATTGAAATTGTATCTTTTATAGTTTTATGTACGAAGTTCATCCTTGAAAATTTTTCCTTGTTGAGGTTATGGTCTAAATATATAACGTGGTCCCTTATTGTTAGGTCATTTAGTGAGCCCAGGGAGAGTTATTGTATCTAGCAACGTACCGTGCTTAATTGATTAATTCAAAACCTGCACTGACAAATCGTTTTTGCCAAATGGGAATGGGCAGATGACATGGCAATTTCAGAGGTATGGTTTATTTGATGAAAAACCACAATTAAGATCCTCCGCATTTCTTTTCTTTTAGTATTTTTATTTTGATGATTTATCTCCATTACTTGTTAGTCCCTAGCTAGCTAGCATGTAAATGAGCCTTCAACCCTTATCAATATAGATAATGTGTTGTGTAGGTCATACTACTTGATTTGTGTTGTGTAGATGCCAAAAAAAATGGCATGGATATATGCAAACCTGTGTAATGTATAGACAATTAAATTATTTGATTGAGAGAGACATTAAGACCATAATTAAGGCTTAGTTTGGAAGGAGTATAAATACAAATATGAAATATGTAGAGTGCAAAACCTTATATTTTGTAGTTCTCTGTGATAGTAACAGCAATAGTACAAATCAGCCCCTCACAAGATTGCCTCTACAATGTCCCACAGCACATCCTTTCCGTGCATTAGGAACATCTCCAAATGATGATATCATCATTTCTGATATTTATCATGGGAAGATGTTTGTTGTGAGATGTTGTGGGGAGTCTAAATCTCCTGTTCACACAAATTCTAAATTCTGCCCCATCTACCCATATGAAAGATATTCTCAATTCACGGAGATAGTGTGTTGTGCAGGGCAATCTTGTGGGGGTTGATTTCATCTCACCTATAACTTGATTTTTGTGTTTGTTAATTAGTTCCCCACACGGTGCCACACCACACATAAGAACTTACGAGCTAGTTAGCTAATTAAGGTCAAGCTGATCAGTCTATATTCATGCAATTAATGCATGTTCTTTCATATCCAACAAAGGAATGGATGCGATATAATGAATAGGTTCAATCATGTTTATTGTGGATGGCCGCCTAATCACCTTCCGATCGTCAGGAATACTCTATGGGCCCAATGTACAAAACAAAATCTATAACTAAACTGTAGGTCCTATATATAAGAATTAATACTCCTCGTGGTGGTTATTGAACCATCTGTAACAGATGTGCAAGTGTCTTATAACTAACGCTCTCCCTCTCTCCCTCTCTCTCTCTCCTTCAGAAAATTGCATCCGTTGATTCACAGCTGGGTCATATCCGGATTTACAGAAGATTACAAACTCTCCATTAACCTATTTCATGAGTCGGTCTTTATTGTTTATCGTCGGATGTCTTTCCTTTCCTCTATCTTGCGAGTTGCGGCGGGGCCTTCATCTTTGTTCTGTCTACTTCTACTTCTACTACTACACTTGATCAGTTCTGAATCTTCAAGCCATATCTTTCATTTTTCGTGTGGACGTTTCCTTGTATAATATTGCTTTGTTTAATTATTAAATTTCTCATAATGCATGGATGATCGTGCATGCATCAGCCAGTTTCCTGGGAGAGCCATGAGGGGCATGGCTACGATCACCATTATCTTTTTTTCTTTCTGTTAAGGACCTAAGCTAAGCCACAAGTGTATTTACCTATTTTAAAGGACTTAGGACGCATTTTGGGGGAGAGCTTTCTCAACTGCGGCTTTTTGCGTTTAAGAAGCCAAAAGCCTAATTGATACTGTTTGGCAAGTCAGGTTTAGCTCCTCTTTATGATACTTTTAAGCCAATTTTAATTTTTATCGTACAAGCAGAAGCCATTTTTTATTGACTTCTTTTTTGCGCTTAAAGTGGGACCACATTTTAAAACCCTTTTAAATAAAGACTATTCTTAAGTTTAAACTATTAGGTTAAAGCCCTCCCACACTCTCTTCTTTATTTCTAATGAGTGTAAATAAGGTCTTATTTAAATACTTAAAACAAGTTTTATAATTTTCTAATGTGGGACAAGTCTAAAACTAGTTTTAATAAGAAAAAAAAAACTATTTTCTAAAACATGCGTGCATGTAGTCTGTTTTTCATGTAATTGATCAATCAAACCCTATTAGATTTAATCTCTAATAAGATTAAAATGCAACATATATAAATACCAACTATTTAGATGATCGGGTAGCCTGATGGGCATGGACAAGATTGCCCAACCTCCTTGGCTCGTCTGGTTTCCATCTTTTTCTCATATTTCATCTTTTGCTCTTTTTCAAAGCAGCAGAGGTGGTGAATGTTGAATATTTACTGTTGGAATTTGACACACTTTGTTTTTAGTTTTTTTCTCTTTTTAGTTCAGTGGTAGTAGTAATCTCATTTTTTCTCTTTTTAGTTCTAGTATTGCTTGATGTTTATTTTATTGTTATCTCTTCATTCTAGTAATAAATCATCTTTTAAACAAAGAAAGAAAGGGCCATTGTTAAATACATGCAAATGAATATACTCTAATAGCAGTCTCAATGGCCACACAAGTAACACGCATAATGCTTTAGCAATACTTACTACACACTTGGATAGTAATCCGCAAATATTCAGTCATTATAATCCCCATTCCAAATAGATCAAATGTTCCTGTGCAATTGCCGATAGGTTTCAGGACCTATGTTGAGGTTAACCCTAACCCAAACAAACTAATATCAACTAAAACATGAAAGCGTGTTGGTCTGATTGGAGCCTCACATCATCTTTGTCAATTAGGTTGTACTGGATCGACATGGCATGACTTGCGTGTGGCCCGTATAAAGTGCAAGCCATGTCATATCAGACCTTGGGCTGAACCAGACCATGCTTCCCTCCCCTGGGATACTTTGGAATTGGTCCAACACGGCCCATGGCCCGAGCCCATGCGGGTCTGTGCTATGCCCTAGGCTGAGCTGGTCCACAGGCCGAGCCTTGGGCCAGATCAGGCCAATCATGTTTCTTAAAACTTTTGAAAAAATCATGAAAAAATTAGCACATTTAAAAAATTAAAAATTAAAAAAATCATAAAATATTATTTTATATGCATTTTGATGCATACAATTATTTATATATATGTAATAATAAAATAAAATACTATAATAAAATTTATATATATATTAATATTTTATACAATTTATATATATAGGCCACAGGCAAAACAGCCCACTTGTTCGTACCGTACCATGCTAGTCCATAAACTTAAAACCACAACCTCAACATGGCCCATACGATCGTGTCCTACCTGACACGGCCCGCAGTTCATCGTGCTCAAAATTGTATTGGGCCGTACGGGACCGCGGCCCGTTCCGAGAGATAAGAGAGATCAAAGTGCATTAATGCATATTTATTAGTTGAGATCACACCTCCGCCCCTCTACGCCCCACAGCACATATCCCGGCTGTGTATTGGGAACATTTCTCGACGATGATATCATCAACACTAGTACTATTATCGGGAGATGTTTCCAATACACCGCAGGGATGTGGTGTGGGGCGGAGATGAATTGCAGGGGCAAGTGGAAGATAAAATGTTTCTTAAAAAACATGTGTAAATAAGGGTGGGAAAAAATAATAGTTTCAATAAAATCAATAGAGGTCTGTCTATATATATTTCCAAGGGTACATAATCAAATTACTTGATTTTGTTTAGTCAAATTGTCAACCAAATATGCAGTATAAATAGTGATTCAAAATAAGAATTATTACCCATGACAGTAGTCAACCCCACATAAGATTTTCCGATGTATGACTGACCGATCCCTACATCTTAACCATTAATTTGTTTGAGATAATATTAACCATTAATTAACATTTCTTCCTGCGAAACTTCCATATCAAAGAAAAAACAAAAAAAAGAAAAAGACTCATCATTAACCCCCCCTCTTATTTCTGACCACCAACCTCAACAGGCTCAACCACCTCAGCCTCTACGGTTTCGGAGCTGCCCATCTCCCTACGCTGGCTATCAAGAATTGGCGAAGTCCATTTGCCAGGGCCGTCTCATCATCTCATATATCTTTCCACCCAATTGTGCTGGATTTTCAGGCTGCACCAAGATAAAGAACATGAACATTAAACCCCATAAACAATGCAATTAACAAGCCCACTAGTTTATTTAGAAGGGCACTACTTCAGCCATTTGAAAAGTTTAAAGATGAGAAGAGAACTCCACAGTGGAGACACTAGAAATCAGAGCGGTGTCATACAAAAGATCAATAGCCCTCAATGCATCTCCGTCGTCTGGTTTAGTCTTGTATGCAGCCTGCATGGGAGACAAAAAAATTAGCTTTGTCATAGGTCATCCTACATTCGAGTCTTGATGATTTGGTGATCCGGATTAATCTCAAAGACCCTCCGGCTTTTCATAAACTCCAAGCTAGATGTGTCCCCAACTGTTTGTGCCTTCATTAACCAGCAAAGTTTTTAAATTATAAATAATGAGCAAATATGAATTTTGATGAAGATAAAGTACATAATGCATAAACTTCTACAACTAAAATTTTCATCTTAAAACAAGATGGTGCTTGCCTTTCCATGTTCGCAGACCAACCAAACTTCCCAGACACAAGAACACATGGTGATGTGCTCAAGTGATTAGAAATCTGGACACTGGTAACTTTGTTGCCCAAGTGCTTCTTGATCCAATCACAAGTTTGGCCAAACTCCTCGGCCTCCTTCTCTTTCTCCTCATTCTTATCACCTGACACATGGTTTCAGATAGAGAGACTTTAATCATTAATTTACATGAACACTGAGTTGAACCATTTATTCTTGGCCATTAAAAAAATGGGTAGATCAGCTAGCTGGGCTGAATCATTTATCCTCACAGTAGCTTTCAAAAATCAACATGATGGAAGACACAGAGAGAGAGAGAGAGGCTTGCTCTTGTCCCCCCATCTTGACCCTTTTTTGTGTGTGCCTATGCACATGCATGTGTAGTGGAGACTAACCTAAATCCAAATCTTCCTTGCTGATGTCAACAAAATTTCTATTTGTAAGATTTCAAGTTCTGGATGGCAACTTCATCAATGGGATCAACCAAGAAGAGAACCTACACCAACAGTGTGTGACAATGTTAATGGAACAGTCAAAGAAAAAGATTCTGACAAAATCAGCTAAATAATATATCATTCAGGCAAAGATATACCTCGAAATCCTTCTCAACAAGCCTCTCAAGGAATGGTGTATTCCTTGCACTTGTCAGACTGTCTGATGCAATGTAGTATATATCCTTCTGCTCCGGTTTCATGTTGTCAACATACTCATCTAAGCTGATCATCTCTTCATCACTCTGAGAAGAAAAGAATCAAAGCAATGGAGCAATCCGCTTGTGGTTTTCATGATCCTCAATGCAACACAACTTTAAGTTCTTGCCAAAGTTCTCCCAGAACTTCTCATAGTCCTAGTGTGACACAATAAACAAATAACTGAGCAAACGATCAACAACTTTATTCTTTTCCCAGTTCCAGGAGTTGGGATATTTCAAAAATAAGGATAAGGATGTACATAGCCCTCATGCAAATAAAATGGTTTTCTGCAAAGTCTCCCAGAACCTTTCATAATCCTTTTGTAACATGGTAAAAAAATGATTGATTCCTCCATGAGTTGGAATATCTCTAACAAATGCTTTCAGTTGAACCCTTGCTCATCGCAACAAAATCCAAAAAGACTAAAAGAAATAGAAGAAAAACAGTGGCATACCTCTCTATTCTCGCTCATAGATATGCCCAAGATCATGTCAAAGGCCTTCCAAACCAATCACTTCCTCATAATCCTTACCTATAACCAAGATATAAAGCTAATTATACTAGGCCATGAATACTCAAATAAACAACAAAACAAGAATAAGAGATGTCTCTAAAAGGTTTGGGGTCATGTGGCAGATTAACTTACTATTCGACTTTCCTGAAGAATCTCACGAGACACATTGAGTGGAAGGTCATTTGAGTCCACAACACCTTTCATGAAACTCAAATACCTTGGAAGCTGATCAATTAGAAACAACAGACAGATGTAAGCAAACCGATTACAGAGAAGGGGAGTATAGTGTGATATTCCCTTGAATTGTGGACCATCATGAAAGACCATGTCCTATATATTCCTTGTTTTGGGATTAATTATATCATCTCTTCCTGTAGGAGCAATAACTGGCACATAGAGTATAGACATAAACTCTACTTCACCCTGCAATAGATGAAGTTTATAGGCTTAATAAAACACACTCAATAATAGCACGCATGATGAAATATTTGTGCATGTAGAAAGTAGGTGTGCGCGTTAGGTGTTCAATTTGAACAAATTACACTGCATCTGAGCTGGGACCATTCAAACTTTAACAAATGCACAACCTGAGCCCACCCAAGATGCACCCCTATTGGAGGAGGGGGAGTATCAGATAATTCAGGTGATAAAAAATAAGTTCCACCATTTGTTAAAGATATCGTATATCTAAATAATCTCTACGATTTTCATTCTGCAATAACTGTCACATGTATTGTCATTATTATTGTTGTTGTTACCTCTGTAGTGAAGTGTGAGGATGCTAGAGGGTCCAAGTACTCATTGAAGGTCTTCATGTAGAACTTGTTGTATTCCTCTGTAGTGACTTCCTTAGGGTTGCGTAGCTGTTCATATACATAAACAATATGAACACCTGACAGTTCACTGAATTTCCCATAATCAAAGAGGAATAGGAGTTTTAGGCCTTACCCATGTCAGCTCCCAGTCCTAGTACCTCTCAACTACGATCTTAGTTTTGTCATGACATAAGCACAAGAAAGATTGCTCAGAAACCAAGGAACCCATAATAAACGAGTGGTCGGTATAGTGAAAGATCACAAGTTACCTCAGCTTTGCCATCTCCTCCATCATTTTTGGCTTCAGCCGGCTCCTCATCAACTTCGACCTGTTAGATATTCAATGATCAGGATAATAGAACTAATGCTATAAAACCAAATAGTGAATATTGCAACCTAAATAGGAGTACTTGTACATCTTGGAAAGTCTAGGGACACAGGATAGTAAGGTTCTTGCACGGTTGACTGTTCAACCCAAAAATAAGCCCCAAACTTCCTCCTCGGCTCCTCCCCAAAATCTTGATTAATCAAATGCAAAGGAGAAAACAAATCCAGAAAATGAGCACAAAAGAAAAATAAAATAAAATAAAATAAAATAAGCAATCAAAATACTCACTCGGTTGAGATTTTGGCTCCGAACTCTGTCAACACTGCAACAGGGGGAGTCAGCTGGCTCTGCTTCGTTGAGAAGGGAGAGGAATAAAATGAGAGTTGGGAGAAGAAGACAGAGATAGGGAATCGGAGAAGTGGAAGACGGGAAGGCGAAACCGCCGCTGTCGAGAGTTGCAGCGGCGGTGGTTGAGAAGAAACGAAAACAGCGGGAGGGGGCAAGAAGAAGAAGAAGAAGAAGAAAGGAAGAGAGAGATCGGTGAAGGAAGGCACCACCGCTAAGATGAACAAGTTGAGAAGGCCAAACCGCTGCACCACCGCACCACCACACCGCCGCTGCTGTTGCTTCCAGAACTCAAGAGCTCAAGAGGGAGACTTGGGGAAGGCCTTTGTGAAGCCTTCGGGACCTCCTTCGTTCTCCCTTCGCAACGGAACTCTCTCTAAGAGGAAGACTCGCTTGGAAGAAGCCTCTCGAAAAGAAGAAATAAGAAAAAAAGTCGGGACAAGTGTGTATGATGCAATGGATACACGAACCAATTATTTACACGTGAGAATGGAAATCTAGTCGCACGAATAGATTCCATTTCCCATATATATACAGAGAGAGAGAGAGAAGATTCTTTCTTTTAACGGACATCTCCGTCATTTTAGAACGGAATTAAGGATTTATATGTAACATCATGATACAAACTTGTAAGTCAGTGTTGTCATACAGATACAGCAACCGAGTAACGCTGCCCTTCGTTGATTCCAACTGCGATAACAGGCCATACCAGCAGAAAAGAAATGCTCCATTGTTTCCTACCATCTTGCTAGGGTTTCGCCAGCCATGTCGCTTCCTCTCGGGAAGCTCACCATCCTCGTCGGTGCAGGTTACATACCCACCCACCTTCTCTCAATATTCTGTATAATATCTCTTAGCCTTTTTTATCTGCTTCCTTAAGTTCTTTTCCGTATTCGCGCACTCAGGATTTAACGGAATATGGGCTTATTCAATTCATTCCCAATAATACTTTTCATTCAATCTTCTGATAAGCATGAAATTAGTTTTTATTAAACCTAGGTTTATGATGAATTGATGATCAAACATATTCAAGCAGAGCGATTGTCGCAACTTTAAAGAGAAATTATTCTCATAACATGATTCATCTTTATAATTGATATTGCTTTATGATCCTTTTTACCAGTATGTATCGTAGAACGAGTAAAACCCGTGCAGACTATTCTATGTGTTGGAGAGACTTCTTCCCCAGGTTGATTAATGTTAGATAGATTGACAGAAACTTGTTCCATTTGAACTTCGGAGACATGTATTAGTATACTAATATGTGACGTCATGTGTCTACTCGCTTTTCCTTTTGTTTCATCAAGTAGTTGAACTCCATAGTCCTATGACAATCAGTTTTGATTGTCTTGTTTTCATGTTTAATGTATAAAGCAAGTTTAAAACTTATATACCAAGGAATCATGGAATTAGAAATACTAAATGGGGCATAACAGTCCTTAGACGGTGTTACCAAACCCTCCTCCTCCCCCCAAAAAGGAAAAGAAGTATCACTCTGTTATTTTAGGATATTAACAACAATTATTATTATACCATTTTCTGGTGACCTCATATTCTCTTTGAATGATAATTGGAAATGAATTATCCTAGAAATTGATTTCTGTTAAAATTTTACCCTTCTTTGAATTTTCCCCTCCTTTTTGGATGTTCCTCAATTTTTTAATCGCACAAGTCATTTCATGCCCAATAACCTGAAATTCTAATTACTGATAAAGTGATAATGATTTGTATTTGTCTTTCAGGTATACTTGGATCTGTGCTTGCAAAGGAAGGACGTGTATCGGATGTCTCTGATTTTTTTTCGGGTGCTTTGAAGGTATCTGTTTTTCTTCCTCACAACAAAGGAGCTTAAGTAGTTTGTCTGATATTAGGCTTGTGTTTTAACTTTTTCAATGAAGTGTCTTATATGGTGTATTCATAAAAAAAAAAGTGTCTTATATGGTGCCTTGTGTCTTCTGCCCCTTCCTTTGAAGTATTCTTTTTGCTCATTCAAGAGATTGACTTTTAGGTGATGTTACTAATGTAAGAAGTATGAGAAGAGTACTATTTTCTACCAATATGATAAAGTATGAGGTTATATACATTTACATCAATGCACGCATCATCTAAATTTACATGCTTTTCGGTGCCATCATTATTTACCTTTTCCCCTTAGAAAGCTTGCTTGTAAAGATTGCATTTCAGCACCATCATATGCCATATAATCTGGCATCTGGTGCAGATATGGTACCATTGAGCCTCAAAGCAAAATCCATTTTGAATTCAAAAGCTTGATATCACAGTTGATGTGGTGCCATTCAGCCTCAAAATTCATATTTCATCCTTTATTTATTGGGAGAGGGGGTAGCTTCTGCGTTTTTTTAGGAAGTAGGAATCTACATGTAAACAATCAATCTGTTTCCTGATTAGGCTTCACTTCAAATAGGTTTGGTTGAATTCACATTCAAGGAATTAAATGTGAGTGGCTGAGAAGGAATTGTACCCCTTCCTATCTTCTGTTAATTAATGATTTCATTAAGAGAAGAAAGGTAAAGAATAGTACTCTGCCCTGCATGTCAAAGGCAGTTCATTGCTTGACTATCAAAATAAAAAGGGAATTCATAACTGCTCAATTTATAATGGATATTGTCATGCACAATCTCTTCTGTTCTCTCAAGACTCTTCATTTCACATGATTTATGATCACAAATTTCTATTATATGAAACTAATAATGTACTAGAACTTTGCTCTCCAAATACTTTCTCTTTTTATTTTTAAACTGCTCAGTGGTAAATCATTCTAAATGCTGTAGTTCTGTGATTGGCATTTTTAACCAGATTGTTTGGAAGCAACTTCAGCGAGATGAATCTCCTTCATTAAAGGCAAAGCCGCAAAATGATTCACTTCTGGCACAGGTTGACATTCTGCTTCTATATTTTGTTCAATGTAGCTTAAATATGCACTTTTCTTTTAACTATAGAACCATGGTCAGGCCTATCTACCTCGTACTTGAATTATTTGAAGTATTTTATTATAGTTGTGAATGATTTTAATCTGGTTTGGGTATCTGTCTGGGGACATGCTGGAAAATTCAGGTCGTTTATGTCATAGACTTGGATGATTCTTGAAAAAGTTTCCTAAATCATTCTACCCATTAAGATTGTATGAATATTGGGTATTTATTAGAAGAATATGATGAATTGAATTAGGTTTTGAAAAATGTTGAAATCGACAAAGTGCCTTCTCTCTCAAACAAGCCAAATGAGGTCTATTGTCTACCTTCTAACTTGAAATATTTGTCCCCCTTGATAATAAGAATCAAACCTCTCAAAGGAACATGAGTGGTTTGGGGTATAGGATAATGAATATTATCTTTAAAATCATTTACATATTTTGCTAAAACATACTTGGTGTATCAAACTGATAGTTATGTATTGTACCCTTGCTTTGAAAGTATGAATATCACCTGGCTTGAAGCTTGATCACCTTCCTCACCTTCCTCTCCAACTGAAAATAGTTGGAAATGACATACTAGAGTAGAGATAATGATATATTGCACACTTTTGCAGGTCAATAGCCTACGACAAGAACTTCAACTTTTGGCATCAAATAGATCAGTTACAATTGTAAATGGGAGTTCATCAGGTTGGGCCATGACAATCTTTCTCTTGTAGTACCGGGGACTGAATCATTTGTTATTTGAAAATTCTATTATTTATTTATGGATTATTGGTAAATAATATTGGTGTGATTCTATTATAGCAGAGCTGCAGAAGATACCTATGTTGAAAAGATGCTAATATATTGCTGTAGAGGCAAATGAGTTTTCTGCTGTAGTTTTGGGGTTTTCCCTGCAGTTTACTTGATTGCTTTATTTATGCAATGTAAAAATGGTATATCACAAGTTTATGATCAATCTTGCTATTAAGGAATTTTCTAAATGTTTTGACCATATGATCTCAACAAAAGCTCTTTTGTTACCTTGGTTCTATGATCCATAACAAGTGGAAGAATGAGGAGGATGTTACCAATAGAATTACCAATATAATTAGAGCAGGTTGGGAAAAAACAGAGGGGTGCCTCCAGAGTTCTATGTGACGGGAGAATACTAATTAGGCTAAAGGGAAAAAAATATTATACAACGGTTATAAGGCTGGCGATGTTGTATGAAGCAGTTGGGCAACCAAGAAAAAGCACATTCAAAAGATGAGTTTAGTAGAAATGTGAATCTGGGAACTACAGCTGGACTCCTCCAAACTCAGTCACTGATTTTGTTATCCAGTGGACCAATCCAAAGATGGGGAAAAGAGGAAAGCTCTTTTGGAAAGCAGTAATTCATGTGGTGATGTGGGGAATCTGGGAAGAAAGGAACAAAAGAATCTTTGAAGACATTTCTCCCCCTTGGATAGTGTTCGTGAGAAGATTTTCAAAAATTTTCTCTTGGATGCTGGTCCACCAGCTCTTTGAAGGGGTAAACAGAGAGGAGCTACAAAGAAGTTGGCTGCAAATCCTGTATACTTCCCTGTCCTCTCCATCTGTTCCAATTCCTCCCCCCCCCCCCCCAAGAAGGGACTGTTATTACTTGCCTCCATCAGCTGCAGGAATAGGGGGTACTGTGAGAAACTCTGCAGGAGATATTTTGTGGGCCTTTAGTGGCCCAATCCAAGATGCGAACGCCTCAGAAGCTGAAGTCCGGTATCTTCTAGAAGGTTTAAGAATTGCTAAGAACAATCATTTCAGTCCATTAGCAGTAGGAGACTCAAGTGGGCAAAAGATTCGGAAGAGGGTCCTTGGAAGCTAGCTCATCTCCTGGTAGAAATTCACGAGTTATCTTCTTTGCTGAACAGACTGCTCCTTTGGATGGATTCCCAGGGAGATCAATAAAACTGCAGATGCCTTAGCAAACCAAGGGTTGGGAAGGGACTTTTTGTAAAGTGCTAACTCTTTTCCATCTTTAGTTTGATACATGCTATTCTTTTGTGCTTTTGGCCTGTTTGTACATCTCTTATGTACATCCCTCCCCCTTTTTTGAATATAAGTTATCTTCTTCTCAAAAAAAAAAAAAAAAGAAATGTGAATGTTGAGATGGATGGGTAGAAAGAGTAAGATAAAAACGAATATATTCATAGGAACCTAGGAGTTGCTCCAATTAGTGGTAAAATGAGGGAAAAGAGACTTAATGGTTTGGTTATGTACAGGGAAGACCATCTACAGCACCAGTAGAAGTGATCTTTTGCAAGTTGAAGGGTCTAGAAGAGCCAGGGCCAGGCCAAAAAGGGCATGGGTTGAAATGGTGAGAAATGACTTCAGAGTCCATACTTAAACAATGGATGTGGCATTGCACAGAGTGGAATGGCAGATACAGGATTTGTGTAGCCAACCCCATATAGTCGGGAGTTAGGACAAGGCTTAGTAAGTTGATTTGAGTTTAAAAAGTTAATAAAAACACTGAAAGACATGCATTAAATGGTGAAGGTGCAAGGCAAGGAGCTTCGACCTCTAGATGCATAAGACACAGCCTCTTTTCAGAGATACCCTAAAAAATAGAGAAAGTGGTAATTTAATCCTTCATTTTGATAAAAAAAAATCCTTCATTTCTAAAGGAATGAAAGACCAAGACTGCACCAACTCATATGTCTACTGTGGAATCCTCTAGTCAGCTTGGAAAATAAAATGATAATCACCAGATTTCTTCTTCTATACAAGATTGAAGAGACTAGTATTTACCATCTTCTTTGGATTTCTCCTCACCTGCTTGCGAAACAAAAGTATATTTTCTTGAATTGATCCAATGTAAGAATTTTCCTGAGTACTATAGTTTGCATAGAAGCTAGAAGCTACCATCCTATGAGGCCCAAGTTTTCAAATCTTTAGGCACTCCAGAAGTTGATACTGTGACTCCCCTGATTAATTTGTTGGAGGACTTAACTGAAAATGTACCATTTGGGTCCCCCACCTGTATCTTATGGTAATCACAATTATCCTAAACATATAATTCCTGCAAGCCTCTTCAATTTGCCTTCTGAATCGGACCATCAAATTTCTAAAGGATCTCAAAAAGCCCAGATATGTGAAACAGGCTAACTAATGTGTTTGTCTAAACTAACTAAATTGCTGAAAAGTAAAGAGGGGGAAGGATATCTTTAACTTTCCCTTGTTTTAATTACTGAATCAGATGCATGACAGTGATGTACGGCAGAAGATGTGATGTATATGCACATTGTTAACATGTTGGTGCAGGAACCTCAAATTGCTTCCCTTAAGTTTCTAATCAGGGTTTAAGTGTTAAGTACCTTTTAACGTACTGTTAAAAGATTAGAAGTTCAATCATTATTATCAGCAAATAGGGTTGATAATCCCATCTAAGTAATTAATTGTTAGTACATTGGGTACATAATTATTATTTGAATTCATGAATTGAAGAGTGATATTTCAATTTCTATACTAGTGTCTATTTTTATATTGGCATCTGGGTATTGTAGTTATGTCAGGCTTCATGCTTTTGGTGTTAATTGGTATTTTTAGCTAACATCATGAGTTTCCTGTCAAAATAGGTATTTGCAAATCTATTTTTCTTCATCTATATGTTGTGGGAAGTTTTATAAGTTATGCCTTGTATAATAATTTTTTTGAAACAGGTAAAGTATAATATCATTGAAATAGAGCAAAAAACACGTACAACAAGGAGCTGTACACAGGAATCTACAAGTACATGCTTATCACATTTTGATATACATGCCTTATATAATAAATGATATACAGACATGCTTATCACATTTTGTCCAAGAACATTCTCTCTAATGAACAATGCATATTTCATTCTAGTTGGATTAAATGTAATAATGTGCACCCTGGATGTTCTTCAATGGGTTGACAGATATAGATTGTTAAAATGATTTGGGTGTTGAGATATAGGTGATGATAGCTCCAACAAGACAAGAACTTTGACATTGGAAACATCCCGAGGGATGAATGATGTAGATTTCTAAATAGATTGATTTAGTGCAAAGCAGGCTTTGTTGGTGATGGATTTTTCTTCAAAATTTTTCTGTCAATTGGAAGATAGAGAAGAACTTGTGTCACTTCAAAGTAGTATTGAAACAGTGGCTGTGGGTTTTGAAAGAATGATGGTGATGGTAGTGGCAAGGAATTGGAAGAGAGAGACAGCGAGATTGATGTGCTGTTTGGGTAATAGCTGGATTTCAAGGGGGATAAACTCAAGAAAAATGCTTTGGGTGGGGGTGATCATGAAGTTTCTTTCAAGGAGGTTCCTAAACTCTTCTCAATGGCTGTTAGAATTGTTCAATCTGGCCAGTGTACCAGATGCTTTAAAATAGGAAAGGTGGTTGGCAGAGGAACTTGTCTTCTGGGGCTCATGCCTCATGGATGTTGTTGCATCTATTGGAGCTTTTGGTAGCTATCTATTCTAGGGTGCTAGGTTTTTGTTCCTAGTAGATGTGATGGCTGTTTTGTTAGGATAGTCTGTGTATGTGTGTGCTTTGTGCCTTTGTCTTTGTTATGGTCCCGCGCGTAGGATCCCGTCACGGGTCGGTCCACGGTGCGAAAGCCCTCCCTTCCCTTGCGCCTTCCCTTGCGTGCAGACCCTATTGCGGCAATCGCATGGGTGATTTGTCCAAGAGATCACCCGAACTCTCCTTACTCTCTTTCTTGACTGCGAAAAACTGAATGCTTTATTTCAATTCGTAGCTCTTTAAATAGGAGATTACAGAAGAGAATTCCTTGTTGGATTCGGCTAGGCTAGGGTAATCCAACTTAAACTAAAACTCCTAATTACCTACTCCTAACGGCAACACAACTCCTACTTAAGAAGATAAAATAAGACAAGGATAAGGGATAGGATAAGATAAGGGATAGGGATAAGATAAGGATAAGGTAAGCTGGTGGCGAGTTGGCTTGACGTGTCCAGATAAGAGTGGGCCCACCCCTATGAGCTGTTGTGTGGGCCCCGCTCTGCTGCTGCTGCCGGGTGCGCGCGCGCGACTCATGGTGCCGCTGCCGCACGGTGTAGGCGTGTGCGCGGTGCGTGCTGCCGTGCAGTGCGTGCGGTGCGTGCTGTTGTGCGGCGCTGCTAGGCGGTGCCTGCTGCTGTGCGGTCTGCCGTGCGTGCTGCTACCTATGACTGCTCCGCAGTGCGCTACTGGATGGCGTGACCATAACATTACACCCTTCCCGGACTACGAGCTTGTCCTCAAGCTCGTGTTCAAGATACATGGCTTGGGACTCTGCGAATGGATCAAACGGATGCACACTATTTCTTAGTCCACCAACAGTATGAACAACAGGGATTGCCCCGTCTCTCAGTGCATAACGCTGGACTATTTGATGCAGACTCCAGCCACCTTCTTTAGTTTCCAGCTCCCAGGCGTAACCATGGCTTACAGTGACTACACACTCTGCTGCACTCAGGCCAGCCGCAAGGACATTGAAGTGTTCCCTACCTCCTGGGTCATATAGTTTGAAGTAGTTTTGTGGAAGATCCACATAACAGAAATCACGTACTGGACCACAACCCCGGTGTGCTATGTTGTGGATCATAAGAATGCATCGGGTATGCTTATAGTCGAGGACCTCAAGGGCGGCCTTACCGAAGAGGACCATGCGTTTTAAAATATCCTCTCGGCCTTCCCCATATATATTTTCCTCAATATTACGAAACATAGGGCTGTCCATGAATACAAAATCTATGCCATCAATATAAGCTTGGAAGAAAATTACCTCTATATCCTGCCCCTCCACCTTACATCTCTTGCACACTTCTGTTTCTTGGATTTTTGTATAGTTACCATACCGTGGTGCCACAACCATAGCTTTATGTCCACACCGAGCCAAGGCCTTTGGTAAAGCCCCAGCAACATCGCCAAGCCCACCTGTCTCCGTCAAAGGAGCGCATTCTGTAGGTTCTACTATAATGTTCGTGACATCGTCCCCGGCCAAAGGAGGAGACTTTACAGTTTCATCCTCCGTGTGCTGATCCTTGGAAATAACTGCCGCTGTAGGGGCAGCGATCTGTTGTTCGCTGCATGCCTCTGCCCAGTCCGGACGGCGTCTGTTGGTGTTGGCGATTCCCTCCGAACTCATTTCTTTGTTGGAGAGGAATGCTTCCAGCAGGCGTCGCATCTCCCGGACGTCTTCCCTGACTTCACGAACCTCCATGTTGGTTTCTGCAAGTTGGTGTTCGAGTTCGTGGACCTTGGAAGACAGCTGCTCCATATCGCCCGTGACGTTTGGCTCCTAAAGGGGAAACTTCTTTTCTATTTTTCAGTTCACCTGTTGCTTGGGGGTCTCCAGTCGTCTTTCTTGTTTGTATGCATAGTGAGTACCTTTTCAGTTTTTTCCTTTCCTCTTAAATAAAAGGTTTTTGTTTATCTCCAAAAGAAATGCACATATTCTTACTCATCTTACTTTGTAAGCTTTGTTAATACTAGTCTATGTTACTTTGTTATGATTCTAGGACATTTTTTGACCAGTTTCCATCATGTGCAGGTGCCAGGGCCTACAGTGTGCCAGTTGTGGTAGTTTTAGTTGTAGGATATGGGTATATACGGTTGAAGGTGATTGATCTTCTTTTCATTTAAGATTTTTATTATGCCATGACTCATAGAATGAGTGGTTTTCCTTAAAATATAATCTTACCATTCTAGTTAATTAGGTCAAAATATGATACCCATTTGTGGTGGCTGAGTTGGGCTCTAAACAAGCTGAACTTTATCCTATGATACTGAGATACTTCTACAATGCTGTTATACCATGTTAGATACTTCAACTTTTGGTGTGAAATCCATATCTAGTACCTTGTTGATCCATTTCCTTGCCTTTTCCATCCATATATGGCAAGCTTGGGCTCAGTAACATGGTTAAATTGACAAAATTGTGCTTCAAGAATCAAGATCTGCTAAATATTTTTTGATGAATAGATCTGCTAAATATTTGAAAGTATGATTTTTAACTCCTAGAGTCTTTTATTGGTATTGTGAACTTTCTTAGATGTTTTTTTTTTATCAATGTGAACTTTATTAGATATTGCACAAAAAAAAAAAAAAAAAGATGACAAGTACCCCCTCCCCTTTTATTAGGCTAGCATCTACCACCTAACCCATCCTTTTTTCTCGTTACATTTCATGCCCATACCCCTAAACAATTGAATTCTATTAACCCCCTATTTAGAAAGTGCATGTGCATCTGCAAATTTATTTTCTGCAAGTCCAAAAGTAGATTATATCTATTTACCTTTCCACAGTTCTTATCTCCTTCATTGAGTCTCAATACTACAAGAACCTTGAGTATTTCCTCCAACCAACCCACCACAACACTCTAGGATCTCCTTCTACCACCAAAGGTATAATGTTATGAAAATTCGCCAGTTGAGCCATCAAAATTTAATTTGAAAAGATTAGAATAAGGCGATTTCCATTCTAAGGAAACCAAAGGCATTTTTTTATAGTAAAAATTTATTAAAAGTAAAAAGAAAATTACAAGAAAGATGACCAGAAGTCACCCGAAAGAGAAAAAGAAAAAAAAAAATACGCCAAAGCCCCCACATCTCCAAAACTAAAAACAACCCAATGAGAAAAACAACAAAAAAACAGAGAATTCCAATACTGAGAAAAGCCAACAAACCACCAGACCTAAACTGGACAAACTATCTTCCAAACTATAATCTCAAAACAAAAGAAATCCTGATCGGGAAAAATCCCAATACATGCCAACAGACCAACACCCAAGAGGATCCAAACATGATCAGAAGTTCCCTACTTTAAAACTTTGTCGGGTTTCATCACTTTCTTGCTTGTTCGATCCCAAACACCCCACCTTTTAATCTAGCAAAGATTTTTGACACTGGAATATTTCAATGCTTTTTCTGATTTCTAAATTCTCTTACTGCATGAGTAGTCTTCCTGAATTCCATCAATCCTTAGACTCCTTATTGATCCTTTCCAATTCTAGCACTGTGTTCTTTTCAAACAACTGATCATGTCTGTCTTCATCCTTTGAAATATTTTCTTTGGATCCTGTATCAGACTCTCTCAGAGGCATTGGAAATTTCTCTTCCAGTTCTTTGAACAACCTCTTTGTCTTAAGAAGATTAGACCACCCATTGCCAAATTTTAAGGATATCAGCCATAGAGTGATTCAAAAACCTTCAAAGTTTTGATCCAATGCATCATCTTTACAATTTTAGTTTGAATAATGGCTTCTTTTGACCATAGACACCATTAAGCTGCCTTTGTACACCGCCACATAATCTTACCTCTCTTCCTTGGTAGGGAGAGATTTCAAAAGCTTCCCAAAGCTTCTGGTATTGGATTTCAAACCAACTGCCCATGTGCTGGAAATCATGGTGGGAGGAGAGGATCTTCTTCTCTCAAAAGAAGAAATATATGTATATCCTGGAATCATTCAATGGTGTGCCTAGAATCACTCTAGGGCATGGGAATCACTCACCAGACTTAGCATGAGCTGTAAGAACTCAAAAAACTCAACTACAGAAAGAAAACTAATGTTTCCTAAGCTACTTAACCAGTGACTATGAGATTCCAGACACAAGCTAACTATGAGTCTATGACTAGAAAACCAAACTACTAGGCCAGATTGGCATGGAAAATATGTAAAATGACCATAATATCCCTACTATCTAAAAATATAATAATATAAGAGATTTAAATTTTACAATTTTAATCTTTTCCTCTCCCACATCAAGGTGGCTCCAAATGATTAGTTATCTGTGCACGATGCAGTAGAGGGCACTGATGAAATTTAATTTTAAATTACATATCCAGCCCACAGGATGGTTGTGGGAATGAAGAATTCTGGACTTAAAGTGGCCACAAATCTGGTAGAAGGTTGAAAGTTGACACCTCATAGCAAGACTTGCAATGCATAGGGGAAGGGGGGTCAACCAGTGCATTACATGATTTTGGCTAGATCTCAAATGCCATCATCTAGCTGTGGTTTTCAGGTGGAGTCAAGTGGTGCCCATGTTTTCCAGAGGAGTCAAGTATTGGGTACTTCAAAATATTCAACACAATGTGGTACCTATTTACAGGTTTCTGGGTATCATGTGGTGATATATGTGACTTCATATTATAATTGAGTCATATTGGTAGTGCAATTGGATCCATCGTCTGATTTGTTTGTGCAAAGTTACCAATTGTGAATGAAAATAGTAGTAGTTATTGTAGAAGGCAGTTTTTTATTTTTTTGAAAACTGTAAAGTAAAGTGATTTCATTAAAAATCAACTATAGAAATCCCTGTACAAAGAGAAATGAACAGAGGATATACAAAACAGCCCCATACAGCCCTCAATCCCCTAAACAAAAAAGGGCAATTGGGCAAATGGGGAGCATGTAGATAGTTATGCCTTGTAGTTGGACCCATGAGCCCAATAAAGGCGAGTTTGGTACTACTAGTTGGAATTAGTATAGAGTTTGGTGCACTCAAAATTCACTTCAAAAGAGGAGTATAAAAGGTTTTTTGAGCTCTTAACTACTGGCGTCTTAGGAATACTACAATGATGTAATAAGTGCTATTATTAGGAGGAAGAAAAGGAACATCTCTTTCAACCCAGAGGAAACCAGAAGTGATGAGGGGTCCTTCCAAGGGGAAGGTGGTATAGCAGGCAAGGGCAATGAAGGGTAGTCATCATATCTATAGATTCAAATACATGAAAGGAAATAGAGAGGGGGCTCCTCCAGTGGGTTAGGACCTTGGAAATGTTTGGTCTGGGAACCATAAATGACAAAGTGCAGTGATGAAGCGTTTTGAGACATCCTCTTCCTTTTTATATATTTTTGGTGATTCCCTTGGTGATGATAGGGTCAAGAGCCTTGAAAGGATCTCTGAGAAGAGTTGATGGTAACACACACACACACACGCAGTTGGTGGTTGGACATTTCTAGGATAGGAGAATAAGAGGCAGAGTTGTTGATGGACAGTTCTAGGATTTCTGGAGTGGCAGAAGTGCCCACCAAAGAGAGGCAACAATTGAAACAGAAGGTAGGATGGGAGAAGAGAAGGTAGACTTGGGGATTCAGCATATTCCTTTGCAGCAACACTAAATGTGAGACATTAGACAAGGGGAGAGAACCTAGAGAGTCAGCAGATAAAGAAGTTTGAATGATGCCAATCAGTGGCTGAAATTCAAGCATGCATAAGATTATAAATAGGAGTCTGTCCTAACATGACATTTGAATTGGATAATATTAGTGGCTCCTGACAACAATAAACTTCTTAAACAAAAGATCAACTAAACAACTAGGAACTAATCCTAGACAAATACATCGCTGTTTAAAGGATCCATGAAGCAAGGGTAAAATCAAATCTTCTTTCTCAGCTGACAAAATCTGAGGCTATTATGATCATACTCATTAGATTTTTCATTAGATGCTCTGCCATAAATGTTTGTCTTCTGTTTGTTGTTTCTTTTGCAGTTATTCAATGCTGCAACCCATTGGTTCTCTTTACATTTCTCAGGGCTGGAAGATATCTGACATGATGTTTGTGACAAGTCGCAGTTGGTCTGATGCTTGTGCTACTGTAGCTAAACAACTTGAGGATGCTTTTTCATCTATTACGGCAAGTTTTTCTTTTGAACAATTCTTCTTAATATTTGGTAATCATGTTGAATGTTATAATGAGATGTCTTTTCTATAAATACATTTCCATTTTTTTGATGGATAACTTCAACTTTTATTAGAGTTAAAAAGAATCAGTATATACAATGTGCCCAGCATCCTGCTACAATGTTGGGCAGATCCCACGCTTGCACCCAATAAAAAACACTGTTCCCTTTGTACTCGTTTAGCTAAAGTATCATCTACCTCCTTGGTAGGCTCTTGATTTCCTTTAGACTCTGCTGGTACTGCCATTGTTCTTGTCCTCTTAGCCAACTTACTACCACTCTAGAATCACCTTCCACTAGCATGTTACCGTATTTTAGTGTTGTTGCCAGTCTTAGACCATGTAGTATTGCATTTAGTTCAGCCTTGACAGACATTCCAAAGCCTATAGGACCAGAAAACATAACTTGAATGGATCCATACTCATCCCTAAAATCCCCCCCAATTCCTCATTGAGCTTGATTGGCCTAGCTACATCCATCAAAATTCAACTTTATTTGGTTTCTTACAGGTGGGTGCCATGACACAATCCTTCTTGTCTTGGCTGTAGATAAGGAGGCGGCCTGCTTCCATCCTCTACTCATGTCATCCACCGAGAAGTGCTTAAATATCTTAATTGTCTTAATCCAATGCACCACCTTCATTCTTATGGGCTCAAACTTCGCCTTCTTTGTTTGTTCATTCTCTTTGAAAGTTATTCCATTTCTCTCTTTTCAGATAGACCACAAAACTGCAGCACTGATGCACCTCTACATTATCTCCCCTCTCTTCTGTGGTGTGTTGAGCCATGCAACATTGAACAGGTTTGGTGCATCCAATGAGGGACTCCACCTGCAACGAAGGAGAGTGAAAACCTGATCCCAAGTATTAGTGACAAAAAGACAGGAGATTAGCAAATGATATAGACATATAGTCTCTCCACTTGCTATTACAAAGAAAGAAAATTTGTGGGGATAAGCGCCAATAAGGTCTTCTTCCTTGAAGCACATTGTAGGTACTGGTTTTCAAATGATGTGCCCGCCAAATGGAAGCCCTAGTCTTTGGTGACCCTTTTCAATGGTGTTGATGTATCATCACTATTTCTTGGAAAAACTCAAGTGTTGATTTTCTCTCCAACCTCCTCTCCAAAAAAGGAAGGAAAGAAAAAAAAGGAATTTCTATTTTGATTAAAGAATGAGATTTTATTAAAAGAGAAATGAGAAATACAACTGTGTGGTGACAAGATGTCACCCCCACCACACAAAATAACTGATCCAAACCTTCCCCCCTCCCAATGAAACTCCACCTTGCTGATCAAATAAACCTCACTCTTGTGACCAGAACATCTGAAATGCTTACCTCCCAATTAACCCTCTAAATATCACTTGCCTCCACATTTTACTCTACTACCTAACCATCTTCAGCCCACTGAACCAATAAAGTACAACCCTCCCCTGCATGCATACAAGCATTTGTCAGACATCCAAAACTTCAACACCAAACATATTGATTCAAATAAATCGTCGCACTTTATAATAAAAAGTATCCCTGGAATACAGCTAAATAGATGAGATGCAAAGCTAGCACCAGGGAAACTTTGCTCTCTCTCCATGGAAAACTATTCACTCTATGCTTGATGCCTTGCATAGGAGAGTAACTTCAATTAGATTTTGCAATCATCATCATCATTATCCTATCCTTATCCCAACTATATGGGGTTGGATACATGAATCCTGTTTTGCCATTCCATTCTTTTTAATGCCATAGCCATTGTTGAATCAAGGGCACTTAAATCATTTATAACTACTTTGACCATTGTCTTGTTTGGTCTGCCTCTAGCCCTTCTAGCCCCTTTGACTTGCAACAAATCACTTCCTATCCTTTCTAGTTTTTTCACTAACCCATCTCAGCATATACATTTCTGCTACACTCATTTGGGGCAGTGTAATTCTCCACTGAATATAGACACTATTTCAGCCAACCTCCTCAAGATCATGTGGAGATATATGAGAGAGAACATCTTATGGACAATTTGAAAAAAAGGAAATTCTAGAATTTCCAAACAAAACCCAACCCTAAGAGACACTGATTGGGCTGATAAAAATCATCATTCACTGGATCACTATGGATGGCATCCTTACAAAATGGTTTGTGGTGGCTTCATCTTCTAAGAGACATTAATCATATTGCATGGTCAGGGCTGATAGGTCTGCTCAACTCATAAGAGCAAAATTATAAGCTATTGCAAGGACTTAAAACCAACAAGTCCATTGGGATTTTGAAATTTCCACAGGTAGAAGAATTTCTTAGATACCCTGGCTTCCAAATTCCCTTGCAGATCTGAACAGTCATTCACCTGGGGCAGGTGCCCTCTAACTAAAGACCTCCTGGGTTCAGATACCTTAAGACTTAACTCTAATAGGAGCAGTGAGGAGGGCAACAATGGGCTTGCTCTACCATAAAGAAGTGATATAGAAAGTATATTTGCGATACTGTAATACAATATGCATCCTTGCTCTTATTATCAATGGAACAATCATCAGTTACTGATCCAGAAAAAGGAAAGAAAGGAAATGAGTAGTAAAGTGGTAGGTTGGTTCTTTCTCTGGGTGCGTCTATTTCCAACCAAATTCAATACAGTTTGCTTAGTTCTTTGTCATCCTTCACCATCTGGGCACAGGAAAAATCTAAACGTCAGAAGTTGTTAGTCCTCAAAAGTTTCTCTCTGGCCTGGCTGGATCTTAGTTCCAATCAACCCAAATGCACTCGCTCTGGTAATATACTCTTGATTTTTGACTGATCTGGTGAGTGGAAGTGTTGAACCACTAGAATATTGAAGATGAATGATTGTGGAAGTAAAATATAAATAGTGAAGTGCAGTAATAATATATCAAAATTTACATATACAATTACAAGGGAACATTAATATACATAACAAAACGCCAAATAAATTTAACCGCACTACATTTTACCTTAACAATCATCTAAAATAATCATGGATTGAATTATATCATATGTTTTAAAGCTTATTTGGTGCTAAAGGTATGCAGTACCTCACTTCTCATTCAAGTGATGGTTAAAAAAAATCAAATAGTACTTGTATCCTTGTCTCCAAGTCTTAGTTATATGATCCATACTTGACACTCAAACTGAATGCAAAGGTTCTCTTAAATAAATATCAATTTATTTATTTATTGGAAGCTTTTTTTTTATTTTTTTTGTAAGACCTTAAGAGACTGATTGGAAGATTCTTTTGCATCTATTGGGGCATCTAAAAGATTTTGAAATGTATAGAAATTATGAGGCTGTTGTTGGCCTGAAATGACATAAACAGTCAACAGAATAATAGAATGAATACCAACACTTTAGGAATCTCAACCTTTGTTCTTTTTGTTGTATGGGAGTTTCCCATTGTTTAAGTATCATTTGTCTTTAAGAAAATTAGAAAAAGAGAACAGAAAAGTGGTACATTTATCCCCTAGCTAAAGACATGGTCTATCTTGCATGGAACAGAAAAGTGACGTGTTTACCAAAATAAAAAAAAGAAATCAATTTTATGCTCTAATCTTATACCAAATTTACTTGCCTTCCTACTTTGCAGGCTACCAAGAAACATCTATCTTCAAGAATTGATCGGGTAGATAGTAATCTAGATGAGTGTGTGGAACTTACTGCTGCTACCAGAGAGGAGGTTGGACTATCAGCTTGCCTCTTTTTAAAATGTCCTTTCTTGTGGATGGGTTTTGAATTATGTGCAGAGTTAACTATATATAGTTGCACTTTATAGGTTTCCCAGCTACAAGGAGATCTGAAAATGTTCAGTGTGGATGTTGAATCTGTTCACCGTGCAGTTCAAACTCTGGTAATTGAACTTCCCTACTCTAGATTGAACATACATATTTTCAATTGGTTAAGAAATGCTATGTTGGTCCTTGGGTGGTGTAACAACTTATTCCAAGCTTTTCCCTGTCTCAGGAGACAAAAATTGGTAGAATAGAAGGGAAACAGGTACATTATCTTTTCTTTTAAATTCAAGAAGGAATATGGATGAAGTTATTTATGTTTCCTCGCAGTAATGGGCATGGTTATGAAAATGTTCTTCAGGATCTTACAAATGAAGGTGTTAAAAAATTGTGTAATTTTGTCTGGAGCTTGGAAAACAGCAGACCTCTAGACCGCATTCAGGTATGAAAGGAATTCTTGACCATTAATGATGTAATTGATCTCTCATATCAGATTTTCTGGCTTACCTAAATTTAAAAGCATCCTAGTTTAAATTTAAGTTTTTTATGATTTTAAGTCAAAACCTTCTATCCGTGGTTTGATTGCAAAAACTCAGATTCTTAAACTGATGATGCTGAACTGTTCACATTACTCTCTACTTAGAGCAGCCCTCACCCTGTTTCTCTTATTCTTCTTTTCAAACTTTGTAGGCCTCACCTGCCAGTTCCTCCAGGCCAGTTCTTGAACTTCCAAAGATTACACCCATTTCAAGAGTAAGTACCGTTGTTTTAAAGAAGCATATGAGACTTAAAGCTTCCTTGAGGCTCACTTTGATGCAAGGTTTAAGGAAAATGCCTCAGCGCTCAACCTTGAGATCCCTTTGCCATGTGTAGATACATATTTACATATAATTGCATTTACATATGCATACTTATATGTAGTAGTGGAAGGGCATGAGCCATGCATGTGTATACACAAAAATAAAAAGATGAAAAATATTCTGATTTAACTTTCATGGCCTGGATGTGAAGCCAAGGCAAGTATCTGCATTTTATAGTAAAGATATTAGGCTATATATCCAGATGGAAAGTGCTCCACACGGCACATTGCCAACAAGTATATCATTCCCATCTTGAGGGCAGTCCCCAGTCTTAAATAGCACGAAAAAAATGTTCATTCCATCTTAAATTACTGCTAAAATATAAGATAAAATAAAAATACAACAATGAAAACTAGGTACACTTTTTTTGAGGGATGCAGAACTTCTTATTTTAATCAATTATAGTTTTGATATGTATCATTTTTTTTCTTTCTCCATTTCCTAACGTGTTCCTCATTGTGTGGCAACAGACCAAGTCTGCATCTCTGTCTGGATTTAATGAGTCTGCATCACCAGCCAAAATTCTACCCCTGGAATTGCCATCTCCGTCAGCATCTATTGAATCTCCCAAGGTTTGTGGACCTATTAACAAAAGCAACATCCAAGTAGAGAAAGAAATAATGCATCTTTTGCCTTTTCCTTTGTCTTTTAAAGTATGGAAATTGATACTGTAAGATAAAATTTCCTTTTGCAGCTGTCGCGACCACCACAAAGTGTTGGCTCAGCATCAGGCCTGAAGGTTAGTTTAACTCCATTATATTTATGTCTTTTTTGGTTGTAACTTCATGTTCTAGCGTGCCCTTTTACCTATCATTCCACCATGTGTTGAACTCAAAGTCAATATCTGTGCAGGAACTGCAAGGAATTTCTGATACAGCCAACGCATCAACTGGCCCTGAAGTTCCTAATGGGACCCATGTTTCAGAAGATACAAACAGCAATGGCTCTTCAAGTTCCCGTCAGTCCGGATGGAAATTCCCTAGCTTAAATGCATCCTTCCTTGCTAGAACACGCAGCGTGACTTACTCTTTCAAGTAGCACACGCTACGCGGGTAAAATCGCTCTTCAGATTGATGTCATTTATCTTGCATATGATTTCCTCCCCGGCCATCGAAGGAATGCATTTTGAGCATTTTTGCTATAATCGAATTATCGAAGTAGCTTCATTACAGGGGTCAGGGGGTATGTTTCACCAGAAAAAAAAAAGTATAGGGTGTGCTCACCTATATATGTGAAAATAGGACTGAGCACAGAATTTTGTAGATCTACAGTTAAAATCGACAATTTCTGCTTAGAAAGCTGTGATTGGACTTTGTATAAACTAACCGGAGGATGGTGACGACGGGACAAAAGCAACGGGAAACAAAAAAGAAATAGGATTTTACAGTTGGTCGTAAATCGTAATGGGACACAACATAGATTAGAAGACATGGGATTACGTTTCCTGTTCGCTGTTCAATTTGCTGGCATTGTTTGATTATAATGGACGAATTCAAAACTGTGTTCCCATTTTAAATGTTGGGTAGCTGCTAAATTAAATCTTTTTAGTGGCTTGTTAAAAGTTTTAACATTAAAAACTCATCGGTTCCTTGAACTGATCTTAGATGTGATGCATAATAGGTGGATTTTTATTTATTTATTTTTTTTTCACAACATTTTTGCATGATAAGTGGGGTTGAGAACGATGATCCTCAGCCTCTTGAGCTTAATAGGGGTTCAATTGGGGCCGGATTGGGTAGGTTTAGGTAGCATAACCCGATGAGGTGTAAAGCACAAATTTCACCCGGAGAGTCAGACGGAGTGCGAGTTATATTACAATGCAACGCATATCTTGCCAAACGATGAGCTGCCTTATTGGCTTTTCTTTGGACTGATGAAACCGATACAAATTGAAGGTTTTTTACGAAGCTTCTGCAATCACCGATAATTGGGCTGTACGTTATAAGTGGGTTTTCAAAATAAGGGCTTAGCCCATCCCAAATTGCACCCCCAAGCCCAACTAAGATGCTTAATTGCTGATAGATTGGAGAAACCAAAACTTAGGGTGAAGGAAGGACTCAAGGGCTATAGGAACCAAAACTGTTTCTTGAGGCCCATCCTATAATCCATTTTATGTTATTATACTAGAAAGGACCAATGAGATGCATAGCTTGCTTTTTGAAAAGAGTCATATTTGATAGGGGATGATCAACCTCTTAAAAATATACAACTCCGTGCATTGCACATAAAGAAAAACCCAACAAATAAGATTTCAAACTCAAGGTCATCTTTCAATTTCTTAGAAAAGCATAATCCCTTGTGAGTTGTGACCTTTGAAAAATTGAGCCCCTCTAGAAATCCACCACTTTTCCTATAAAGCACGAATAAACAACAGTTAATATGGATTTCTGCCCTTTGAAGAGTATTGATAACCAACAATTTAATGGTTTAAGCAACAAAAACCATTAGAATCATGCTCATGATAAAGGAACTGGATGATTTACAGGGTGGCCTGAAACATAATTTGTCTTTATTGTTGCTGGTTTCAAAAACAAATCAATTTGTCTTTCTTGTTGCTGGTTCCAAAAATAAATCAAAACCATCTTATTTCAAAATTAAAACAAAAGATATGTTCTTGAACTTATACATATCTCGGTGGATTTTGATTGGTCAAAGTTTCTGGCAGCACATATTTCCCCTATTATTTTTTATGCCAACAGCCAAACAGCTTTCTTAAGGCTATTCAATGACACTTAAACGTCTCCCTCAACAATAAGATGGTACGACCAACCGAGTGGTGGCTTGGTTGGCAAGTAACTGGGTAATCCCCAATTCCCAGATGCGATGCGATTTCGAGCTCCTGCTACTAATGGCTCTAAATTGTGGTACTATGCCATGAAAATCGAATTACGGCCCCTATGGGGGTGAAGGCGAATAATCAATAAAAATAAATAAAAAAAAAAACCCAATAAGGTGGTACAGCTTTAAGAAAGGGCAAAGCGGGCCCCCCGGAGAACTAAAGCTTCACAGTCAATATAGGAGCACAAAGGGAAGTTAGTTTACTGCTCTAGCAAAGAAGAGAGAGCCATCGTGATTTCTGATAACCAGACCCGCCCTCGATTGGCATGGACCCACTACTTCATGGAACTACTGTTTATTAGTTTATTAATTATTAAGCTTTTGACCATCGGCATCTATGTAAATAAGGTTAATTCTGGTAATACTTGGAAATTATATTTATTATTTTTTATAAAAGGACATAGTCCTTTATTTTGGACAATATCTCATAAACTTAATATTTCATTGAATATTAGCCTGGAGATTTAAATTAACATATATTTCCATTTATTTACGTCTTTACAATTTTTTTTTTTTTGCTAAATCCGAAGTCCCACCAATTCCAAACGAAATAGAAACAACTAAATTAATGTTATGTAATATTTGGAAATAGCTCAAAGAAAATTAACGAGAATGAAGTGTTTCCATAGAAGTTGATGTTTCAAGCTGTCCTCCCAACTCCAAGAACAGAGACACATACAAAGAATAAAAGAAATTTAATACGCTTAGAAATTCTTCAGGAATCAGGAAACAAACTACACCGTACACGGAATATGATGCAGGAGCCGGAGCAGGTGGTGAATGAAGATTGAAGAAAACATAGCGTCCATGCCAAAAATTCCAAGCTCCACCCCAGCCTGTGGCCTTCTAGACTTTACCTCAACCTGTTAACCGACGATGATGGGGTGTACCCATTAATCAACTAAACGGCACAAATAATCAAATCTCTTTTGGACGAAGAATTCAAATATCAGCAACAAAAATATAAATAGTTAAGCATTGTCATGACCGCCATTAAACAAAGAGTGAAACTAACAATCTGAAAGGAGAGAGAGAGAGAGATTTCATGTAGGGATCAAAGTGGGAACATGAACACCTTCATCCTCGTATCCATCAAAGCTCGTCAATGAAATAATAGCCAGTGCAAATACCATAAGAACAACAGCAAGCCAACCCAGCACAACCATCAATCTCTCTCCATCACCACCAATAACTTTCTTTTCCCCCACACCCACGCCCATCTGTTCTATCTCCGCTTGCTCCATGCCAATCGCCAATTTCTCTCTCCCCACTCGCTCCATAGATGGACAAGTTGAGCGATTACCATACCCACTGATTGATTGATGGTCATCAACGACATTATCGTCTTTATCCTCCTCCTCCTCTTCACCATCATCATCAGAAGACGAACGGAGAGACCTTACTTCACTGGTTTCAATCAAGACAGAAGAGGAAGCACTGCATATTTCCTCTTCTTCCCTACCGTCCATCTTACTTGCATCTTCGAGGGCGTCGAAGAGGCTCCTCCCCTTCAATTTGCCATTCTCGATTGCTGTTCTTCTATCTCTTAGTATCTCCTCTACTGCCAAAACATTGTTTCTCACCTTCCATCCTCCCTCGGAAGGAAGCCTTCTATGCAAAGAAGAAACGGGCGAAGTATTATCCAAAAATTGAAGAATATCGGCGGTAGACTTGACCTGGGCTGAACCTGAACGTCGATATAGGCGTCTGGGATTGGATCGTTTGTAGAAGTCCCATTCCTTCTCTATATTCTCGAGTTGCCGGTGCAGCTCATCTTTTTCTTCTTGTGATCTTCTCATGGTATTGGTCATGGCCGCTCAATCTCTAAGACTCTTAACTACTCGATCTTCTTTCCTTTGTTCAACAATCACAATCACCCAGTTAATACTTAATATGTGGTAGAGAGCCAGAGCCCAGATGGAAGTTACCCTCAACAAGAGACGTGGGTGGCCCCAAGTCCTCGTTAATAACCGTACCTACTTAGTACTTGCCACTGAAGTTTGAAGAAAAAAACAACGAAAGTCATACTTCGATCCCTCCTATAGTATAACCTACTATCTAGATTGTGTATTTCTATTTCTAAACCACCCTTTCCTTTCTTTTATTTATAAAAAAAAAAAAAAAAAGCATCTTCCTTTTTTTATTAATATTTGATACAATAGTTTCAATGTTTAATGGTGAAAAACGAAGTTTTGGCTGTAAAAGAGGCAAAAATATAACTAGACATTTTCAGACTGAAAATTTTTCCATCCCTAACACACAAACAAATACAGAGCCTAACCAGTAACTGGGAGAAAAATTAATACACGATGAATGTTATGACAAAACAAAATGTACTCATCTGACCTTGAGCGTGATATTTACCAGATTCAGGAAAAATAAGGTGCATAATTCATAGTTGAGGAAAAAGTAGAAAATAAAATAAAATCCCAGCGATTAATATCTTTGAATCATACGATTCTGATCTCTTGTAGCGAATTTTGTTCAGTTAATATGCTTGAAAGGAACGACTCAGGTCTGTGATTTGGGCAAAGATTGATCCGCAGGCCGAAGCATTACGTCGAATCAGAAAGATGAGGAAGTCAGAGTAACCCACGTTTCGGTTTTTTCTACTTAAAATTTGGTTATTGACGTGTCCTTTTGAGGTAGACATGCACAAAAATAATCTTGGAGGAGTTCCCACTTTTCCACGGAAGGAAATTAGAATGCACTTGCTTTGCGGGGAGTGGTTTCATATGGGGATGCATTCAGAGATGTAACGAGTGTTTCTGATAACTGTAAATGTAATCGGTTATTAGAATGTTAACTTGCTATCCAATCCTTGCTTTCACGAAGGTTTCATGGTAACCTGTTCATGCTATGATGCTATCCAACCCTTGCTTTCACGAAGAATGTTAACTTGCTTCAGTCTGATATGGCATTTGATGTAGAAAACCCAACAAACAATGACTAAACAGCAAGCATATCAGATCCAAACAGTTTGTACAGCATCAAACCAGTTTAAAAAACAAACGAAAAAAATGCAGGTTAACGTATAAATTTGCCATTTGTTAGTAACAACATCCGGCAAAAGTTAGAAGATGCCCTTGTTGGTAATACATTACATGGTTGACAACATATTCAGTATGAGAACCCAGATAATATTCAAACTTCTCAAGAAAAAGTTGTTAGATTCACCAATGCATGATTCACTTCAGAAACCGATATAATTTAACCGGAACCTCTAGAATGATGTCCTGATCGAGAATCATCTCAAAATATCACAAAGTTCCCCGACAAAAGCTCCTCAGCTTCCAGTACTTGGGTTTGATATATCCTCTATTATACCTTTTCCATCCACGGCATCAAAGAAAAAGAAATTCTTGATAGGATCCCCCTTGCCTGATATCGCTTTAATAACTTCCTGGTAAGATTGGAACCGCATCAAATTGCTATGACCTCTAGGGAAAAAGAAGGGGCATTGATGCCACTGACATGTGTGTACATGTAAGAGAGTGTTGATGAAAACAAGGAAAAATGACAGGTCGTTTACCTGACCGAGAATCCCCCCAATGATTGCACAAACCGGAGGATGTTCTTTTGTACCCACCAGCAATCTTTCTAGAAGACCATCTGGGATGTTAGATTCATTAAGTGCCTGCCATGTTTTATGAAGCAAATAGAGAAGATTACAAAGACAATATTTTCATTGAATAGACAAGCAATCAAAGCATCTTTTATATCAATCACCTGTGCCTCACAAAGTTCCTTTCTTATCTTCAAAACACTTGGGAGATCTGCAATTGAGGTTTCACCAGGATTACGCCCCTCAGCCTGCTCAAATCTTTCTATCACTACATGGAGAAGGGCAATGTGTCAGTCCTTTGCAATAACCAGGTGATACTTCTGGTTTTCCATGACAGAATGTTCTTTTTACATGAAATATGCATGTGCATTGAAAAAGGTAATCTCACTGGGTTGATTATAACATATCTATTCCTGCCAGATAAAGGAATCAATTCAGACTGCCCATCAGATGGGGCATCCACTGAATTGGCCATGTCAAATCCTATATCCCAACTTGTATAGGAGCCCTGTCTAGTGGATATTTTGGCATATCCAAGACACCTATTTTCCATGTGTTTTTGTACAGTGTATGTGTCTGTATGTTTGTGTGTGTATGTATATCAAGGAGAAATGTGGCATATTTGTGTCAATTAGGTCTGATCTAGACAACTCCACTTATTTCTGCCATGAATGAATTATGTGGCAAATCCAAACTATCCAGAGTTCTTTTTTTTTATCAGCAAAAGTGGATTTTATTAAAATCAACTTGAAGATTACATCAAGGGAGACCCTCCGGATTTTGGCACACCTTCACTCTGTTTTTTTTGGATAGATTTTTACTCCAGTCCATGTCAGCATATACCCTACCTTGTATTGGAGAATTGTGGTTCAAAGTTCATTTATTCAAGCCTACCAATGGCCCCCAATCAGGGCTTATTCTGAATACATAGCAAGTGTTCTTGGGATGAACTTGCTAAATAAAGGGTGAAGAGGGACATATGTGTGGGGCCTTGTTGAAACCCCACTATCCTGTGCATCCACAACGTGAGTTTATAGATTCAACTCAAGGAGTAATAGCAGATTTTGCTGCCTTCTTTGGACAAAAAATTGTTTTGATTGATTCAAACTGGCCTTCAAGCTTGAAGATAGAACACAGACATGGTGGATAATTCAAGGTCAACTCAAGGGAGCATGATATACTGAGAATGAAAGAAGCTTATGAACAAAGGGGTCAAGAAACGGAAAAGGACCATATTGTGTAAATGGAGTCATCCAATGACTCAAATTGGCACTCAGAATTACTTGACTCAGCATCAAGGTATTTACATAGGAAGTCAATGAATGTAGGTGCAAAACACCCTTAAAAAACACTGAAAATGTTCTCCAGTTAAAGTTGTGTTTCCCTTGTTTGTCTTTTCCAATGTTCAGAGAATTGGACCGGGCATAGAACCGGAGAAGGGAGAGAGGTTCACGGGTCAGAGGTTCAACCAGGGCTACTGGAGGTCGAACCACAATGACGTGGACCACGTGGCATAAATACTATATGTAATATATTTTACAACTTTTAATATGTACAATAAAGAGTCATTAATTAACATAAGTAAAGAGGTGGATTAGTGGTAATTAGGGGTGTCAATGGTATTCGAAAATCAGAATTTGAATTCAAGATTCGACATAATCGAATTGAATTTGGATAATTCAAATATTTAATCGGTCAAATTTGGATATTACCTGATTCAATTCGATAAATATCCGGATTCGACCGATTATTTAATTATTATATATAATATATAAAGTATTTAAATGTTTTATATGATTTATATATATAATAATTAAATTATATAAAAAATATATATTTATAATACTTTATTTAAATAATATTTATTTTATATATTTATTAATTACCTAAAATAATTAACTAGTTGAATTCAAATCAAATCGAATATTCGAATATTTAATCAAATTCGAATTTGAATATTAATTTTCAATATTCATTGAATATAGAATCGAATTCGGATATCGAATTTTCTAATCGGATTCGAATTCGGATATTGCCTGATCTGATTCGAAATCGCCCCGTTTACACCCCTAGTGATAATTAAGTAATATGTGAAAATAAGAACTCTTGGGTTCAAGTCTTGTTGACTACATTTTAAAATTTCACTTATGTATAGACCCGGGCAGTTTCATTAAACTGACTGGTCATCCGGTTTTCACTGGGTTTTGAGCAAGTCCGGTTATTGGGCTGTGACCGAACCGGTCAGGGTCCTGGGTGTTCAACTAGCCGGTCCAGTCCAATTTTCTAAAGACTGGTCTTTTCATCAAGAAAAAATTATCTGCAGACCTCTCGAGGCAAAGAAAAGTTTTGATACTCTCCTTGGAAGTTGACTCCAAGGCACTGCAACTGCTTCCTGCAACAACAAATACTGACGAGAGTTAGATATACAAAAAATCTTGAATCAACCAAGACTCTGAAACATCAGAAGAAAGAACTAACCAATGTTGTATGGTTGGTAAGTATGATTGTTGAAACCTAGAATGGCCAAAGGCTTGAAGCCCTTTTTTAAATTGCATAGTTAAATGCATGCATCTTCATGTCCAGGAACATCACAAAATAGGCTATTCCCATCTAGGGGATCTCATCATCCTTTGGTAGTGTAGAACCAGGAAATTTTGAAGTGAACAGGAAAATGAAAAGAAACAAAAAGAACTACAACATAAGTAATTTCTCAAACATGTGAAGGAAATAATACCACTGAGGATTGTTTCTACATGCACAGAAAGAAACCCTCTACCTTGTAACTCAACAAATTCATGTGTCGCAAGGACATCATATCAGAATGGCTTTGCCCTAGCTTGGGTGTTATCAAAATTCAAATTGACACTTATGGCCCCATCTTAAACATGTGAAGGAAATAATACCACTGAGGATTGTTTTTACATGCACAAAAAGAAACCCTCTTCCTTGTAACTCAACGAATTCATGTGTCACAAGGATACCATATCAGAATGGTTTTGCCCTAGCTTGGGTGTTATAAAAATTCAAATTGACAGCCCCAAAGAAATCCTGCAAATTGTGTTTCTGGAGTGGATTTGATAGTTAAGGGCTTAAGGCAACTTGACCTTTCCCTCTAGCTTTTACTACTGCTTATTCTAATATCATGGGGATGTCCAACCTTAATGGATGGGGATACTGGCTTGGAACCAAGGATTCATTAAGGTTTATAACAAAGGTCTCTGGTAGAGTTTCTTTCTAATGGTTTGGATCCCTCTTTGTGAAACAAAAGAAGTGTTCAATTGGCTTGGAGCTTGAGTAACCCATGCATAGAGGCAGTAGAGTAGAGCCAACAGATTGGAAAAATCCAGAATCATCTTCAACATGATAGCTGCCCCGCCTCAGGAGAAAGTCAAGCATAGTGGAACTGTATTTTGAATATCTTCAACAAACTTGGTGGGTTACTTTTTTGTTTAATCTTTATTCAACATTTAGCTAGCTTCTATAACTAATGACTTTTTTTAAGGGCAATGCTTTTACACTCCTACTTCCTCACAACTGTTCTATTCCTTTAACCAATAAAAATTAAGGTGGCCCATCTCTACAAGGAGTGAATTCAAGGTTTACAGGAATAATAATAATTGAGCCAATGAAACAATAAAATGTTCAAGAAGAGAAAAGCTATATGCTCTAGAAAAATGTAACATGATGCAACTACAAATCAAGATATGACAAGTGCTAAATAAAGCTTCAAGTGATGCTCAGAAATGAGATGAGATCAATCAAAGGTGAAATGGTGTCAATCTAGAACATTCTTATCTATCCATTGGGCAGAAAAGACTTTTTTTTTATTCGTCAAGCACCAAAAATTTATTCTTGGTGCTGGAAACAATCTCTCCACCTGATCAAGCTTTTCCTACCATATCTTTCTCATTGTTAGTTTTTGAACTACACCTTTGGTCTTTGAAAACCAGTCACTTGAAACTCTGACTGAAGTCATCTCCCCTGCCCCGGTTTTCCAGCGAATGCCCGGTGAACAATGCAAAAACAAGGAAGTTTTCTATGTTCTGATTGGCAACAGGCAACATTATTATGCATCCAACATAGATCTAAAACAATGCCAAGGAAAAAATAACCTGATCAAGAAAACAAAGCCTTATAAAATGAAATCCAATTATATAAGTACATACCTCAAAACTTGGATACTGTAATGTGCGTTCAATAGTATCATCAAGCTTTTTCTGTCAAGAGAATATCTGATGAGATTAATTGTTTTATATATACAAGAAGATCAAAAGATGCAAACAGACCTAAAAAAGTAGAAATAAACAGCAGAAAAGTCTACAAAAAATATTTAGAATCAAGAGAGGAAGGAGAGAAGATATAAAAAGAAGAATGAACTAAGGCTGAAAACAGAGGAGGTCGAACTCAACTGTCGCCCTCTAAGGATCTAACTTACTGCTGCCCTCTTTTATTAACATTATATTAAATTGTAAAATTGCAAAATGCCCTTACTTGATTAATAAAGAGAACAACTAAAGAAAAAAGACAAAAAACATCCCTGCCGACTCTAACATAAAACAGAAAATAATAACTAACAAATGACATTAATTATTTTATGTACTGTCATATGCTATTGCCACACGATAGCAATAAGAACCTCAAAATCCTAGGAAGTCTTCATTATTTCTATAATTTAATCAATATATAACTGAGTTCATGGTAGAGATATCCAAAGAGAAACTAAATGCAGAAACTAATCCAACGAACTACCAGACAAGTTTCTAGAAAAATGAAGTCCAGTTGGCAGATTCAGAAAGAAAAAACTGTACAGGGCTCTTTTCATCATACATAATTTCTGGGAGTCAATTAGGAAGTGTTCAATGCAAATCAGATATAAGAGAGGATGATACCTGTGCATATGTGTAGTTCTGCAAATCAACAAATATTTCACCACATGAATCCCTACAGTCAACTGCATAAAATGCGATCCGCTTTGGACTCTTTCGACATTTTTCATTGATTAGCTTCTGAGGAAGATCCAGATGGATAAAAGGAAAATGAATAGTGTTTCCAAAGATGCTCACAAGAACAGGGTGGAATAACCTCTATGACATCATATATCAGGACAAATTTTCTACTTTTAACAAATAAAAAGTGTTGTTTTACCTTCTTTGAAAGAGAGCAACAACTGACAACTACAACATCAAACTTGTCATAAAAATCTCCACCAAAGCTTGATAAATCACCTATGGCAAGAAATTGAATTTATAAAAATTATATCATTTTTAGAGTTAAAACCACATATAACAGCAGCATAGCTAATTTTAGTGTATCAACTATCAAGTGCATACATGAAAAACAAATAAAAGAAAGAATGAATTGCAAAATACAGCTACCAGATCAGCATCAGTAACCTTGTCTTTTTGGCTAAGTTCTAAGCTAGGCATTTGAATCTGTTGAGCCTGATAAAGTTTCTCATAAAAACGTAACCAGAACATTAGAGATTACCTTCCTTGGAAAATTTAAGATTTATTTGTTGCCTTTGCTATGAAAACATAATATACTTCAAGTCTGTTTTACTGAGCATAAAGAGACTGATCCAAGGAGTACTCATCAACACTACCAAATGGCCATTTCTGGCTAAAGCAATCTTATTGACTAGACTATACAGTAGAATTCATGGAATGGAACTCAATCAGTGAGGCACCAAATTTACAATGTCCAAACTTTTGAAATAATATATGTTATTTTAAGAAAATAACATATCTATTGAAGGATAACAGAAGGTGTACATGATTTGAAGTACACAAAGTATTAAAAAATGTAAAATATTCATCCTCAAAAATAATGAAGGGACAGAAATTACAGGACAAATCCTACCCACTTCCCTCCTAGATAAATTATCAGCATAGTGTTCTATTCCCTGAGGATCCATCTCAAAGAACAAAAAAGGAGTTCTAGATATCTGATATCTCTGATATCATTCAAAAAATAAGCAAGTCTCCAAGGACAGGATCCTGCTCTCCGTGCCCATCTGACGGCATTTGCTGAATCTCCAAGAACTAAGATTGAAGGACATCTTATTCTTTTAGCAATTCTTGAGCCACTAAGAGGGCCCAAACTTCAGCTTTAGTGGCATCATCCGCAATAGGCCCACCAAAGTATCAGAAAAAATCTTCCTTCCAAATCTGGAAGTTCCCTTCCAAGTTCCAACCCCAGGCAAGACCACAATTGCCTTCAGAGCTGCCATTGAAAAAGAAGATGATCTGCCCTCCCAGAACAGGCATCAGAAGTGAAGCATCACAAAGAGTTATCCCCTTCAAGATCAAAGATTTTAGATTCAAGATACAGAGTTCATTTCAAAGTGACTTCTTCTGCAGAGTGATTCCTTTAAAATCTCAACCCGAACAGGTTATATATGTAAGCATGACATTCTTCTACTTCTCATACAGCTTCAGAGGATTTTTTTTGGACCATTGCTTATTTGCAGATGAGCACGCAATGGAGATCAATGCAATCAAGATTACCCAGCTTCAGAGGCTCTATGTACCATTTCTTCTAGAGAGCTTTTCTTTTATTCTTGTTCTTGCAACAGGGGTGACGGGTACATGTGTATATACAAGGGGAAGGTGGGAGAGCATGGTTTTTAAATGTATTCACTCCAAATATGATCAAGTCACCAAAGACAGGTTCTGACAGCAAGAAAATAATAAAGATGGTTTAAATACAAGTGCAAACAAAAGCAAACCTCTCATTATATAGTTAACAGTTAACATAACACTGGGGTATGTGTGTAATAAAGACTTAGAGGACAAAAGGCACAACTCTGAAATAGGTCCAAATGATTTCCACTAGGAGATTACTCTTGGGATACAAATTATATAAACAAAGTTGGGAGAAAACATGAATATGTAAACCACTGAATTGAAAGATAACATGAGGTATAATAAAGACTCACCTTTTTCTACAGAAACACGAACCATTGGGTTGAAATCTCTTAAAGAATCACAACAAAGTTCAGCAAGAGAGTTTCCACTAAATGCATTTTCATCAGGAGGAATTAAGAAGTTTGCAGAAAGTAGTTCTTCTGTGACCAGACGATCATCCATCAAGGTCAAACTACCAATCCCTGCTAGAACAATGTTCTTGCAGAACTGCATCAAAAAACAAAGGCCACAATAACCATATGATATATGCTGTTCTGAGAGAAATTAGCAGAAAGAACTAGTAATCCATGTAAAACTTTTGAAATAGAAATGGTTCAATATCAAGGCCCATAACAAGACGTTAATCTGAAAATATGAAATGCTATTCATTAGTCAAAATCACCATATGGACCCAAACAAAAAGTCTAATCAAAAGAAAATTTTATTTTGATACAAGGCTGACTTTCTTATTAGGGACCATTACTTGGCCACAAAGCTGACTTTTCTTATTAGGAACCATATTGTATTGTAAATCATAAAGAAAGTTGTACTTAAAAAATAGAATTTACCCTATCTTTACTACAAAAATTAAACCTATAAAGTGATTTTACCCTATCTTTAATTCATCTCTACCATATATATACAAAATAGAATTTAGAACTTGTATACTAGAAGCCTAAAATGAAAAAATTAAGTTTGACTTGAAAGTGAATATCCACATACAATGGCTCTTTAATCTACACATGCTGGAAAATAAACTTTATGGTTTCTAAATGGTCTTAACTTAAATAACCAAAACAGACCATTTTCTGGTAAGGACTTTAAAACAAGAGTCTTGAAAGAACTAAAATAAAGAAAGAAATGACAAAGTAAAGAATCAAATCTTAACTGAACGTGAATTGCATGAGTTGTATAAATCGTAAGATTCATGAATCAAAATGTCAAATCATGTGATTTAAACTCTTTGAACCATAAGATTTGACAACCATGAGCTGCACACTATTTCATGCCAATATGTCACTTGAGTTGCATTTCTACCAACAACAACAACGAGACGAAATTGTGTAATGGTTGAGCTGAAGATTACCTCTATAACTGTTCCTTTGGTTCCGCTGACCAATATATGGGATTTGCTCAGCCTATACAAGAACAATGGTAACAGTCATAACATTTACAAACCCAACCTGAATCGATATTCTACTGAAATGGAATGAAGAAAGGAACGCGTTTGGAAAGTAGATTTTAGGTGGAAAGACAAGTAACATAACTTAAATGTGACAACGTGCAGAGGAAATCCGGGTAAAGTCGCCAATGTTCAAAAAGAAAAACTATAATAAGCTGGGAACATAGGGAAGCACTTGAAATTAGTTACCTCCTCTGCGCATCAACCCCCCATACACGTATCTGACGATCGTACAATGCGGTTTCCTGCTCGGTCAACTCCTCGCTGTCCATTTTCAAACGCAACCTGCTTGTGTCGTTGGATGGCGAAAAATAAAATCCAAAACCCAGGTCTTCACTGTATATTTTACACAAACAGGAATGGAATATGAAACCCTAAAAGTAAGTACGATTGCTAAAACACTTGCAGAGTGAAAAAAGAAGGGGATGGAGCTGTCTGGCGACTACGGAGAAGAGGAAGCGGATGGAGCTCGTTGGCCCGAGGAACTGGGAAGGGTTCTCCGTGCCGGGGTTTTTTTTCCCTACTCGATCAATGTTGCTAAGAGCACAAACGAAAGTCAATCACGCAAGTGCTTTCTACCGTCTGATCTGCTTGAGATTAGCGCTTTCTATTAGGTGGTTTCCCCGATAGCATCCATTCCCGAATCCGAATTTGCTCTTTACAGAGCGCGCCTCACACCAACCTCACAGTATTTATAACCGTGCATTGAGAATATCTACTATACTTGATGTTGTCATTCTTGAGAGGATGTTTCCAATGCACGGCTGTGATGTACTGTAAAGTTGGTGTGAGGCGCGCTTTGTGGTATGAGGCGGGCGCGGTCAGTTAGGAGCAAGTCCGCTTTCTCATTTCCAAAACTCGGCGAGCCCGGATCGCCTGCGCGACGGGATCTCCTTTGAAAGCAAAAACTCTGCGTACACAGCATTCAACCGCACATCGCGAATATCTCCCGTACACGTGTTAAATTTTTAGGGAAATGATCTCAGCGTGCGGCTTAGATACTTGGATTGGGATTGGGTGTCTGCAGAGTTTTTTCTTGCAGCCGCAGGAGTTCCGCAACCACAATGGAGTGGGTTTAACGGTGTTCGAACGGGCCTTGCACTGACTGAAGCCGATTCTTTAGCAAGACCGTTCCCAAATCGCCAACTCGGCACTGGTCGAACCCGAACCGTCCTACCCATCAACCGACGGCAGGACTGCGTTTCCCGCCATTTTTTCCCGCTTCAGAGCAGACTATGAATGAAGTACCTTAGTCGGCCATTAGTGTTGGTTTTTTATTCACAATATTCATTAGATAGATTTCTCCGCATGTTAAGGTAGGACAGGAGAGGGAGAGAAGAGAGAGAGAGAGAGAGAGAATGGAAATAGTTCGATCGCAGAGTAAAATCACTGCGGACGCCGTTCCGACTCTTCCTCTATACCGATCCGCTCCTGCACTCGAAGTAAGGCTCGAAGATTTTGAGCTTTTTGCCATCGACCGTCTCCGAGGTATATACTCGGTTCGCTGTCCATTACTATCTTGTTCGTGTTTTCTGTTCAAAATCAGCCTTACTAACTTCTTTTTTCGGGGTATTTAGTAGCGGTATTTTGGAGCTTACTTTTATAGTTAAGTAGATTCTAATTCTTGGATGAAGACCTAGGGTTTAGACTTCAGACATCCAATTTCTTTTGTAATTTCAAGTTCTTGAAGTTTTCTTATGGTAATTGAGTACTTTTATTGTTTTCTACAGTTCTCAGGGGGATTTCCGATGCTTTATCGCGCGGAAAGAAACCGGAGGAAATGGAGAAATTGGTGAGTTGTTGTTTTAGACTCAATATGGTTTCCCTTTAATCTTTTTCCTGTTAGGTGCGTATCCTAGTTATTGAATTTTGGCGTTGTTGGTGGTTCAAGGTGAAAGATCTATGGAAGGCAAACATGAGACACCAAAATGCATCAGAAGTTATCAATAAGGATATAATCTCACATTTTGTACTGCGTCTCGTGTATTGTAGAACGTAAGCTTATTGATCTCTGATTTTTTTTCTCTGTTTTGAACTTATTATAATTTTTCCTTCGCCCTCTTACCTTCTCCATCTGGGACACAGGGAGGAGCTGAGAAAATGGTTCCTTTCAATGGAGACAATGCTTTTTCGTTATCGATTTCGGTTTGAAAGCCTAGATGCTCAGGTATGATGTTGTCTTTCCACATGACAGTGGATCGTTATCCAAATTATTTGGATTAAAGTTAAAGTGTTTCTGTCTGAGCATGCAGAGGGCACTCATGGGAGAATTTGACCTTCCATACAAAGCAGTCAGCAATGCAGAACTTGAGGTATTAGAATTCTATCAACCGATTTGGCTTGATCTTGAAAACTTATGTATGATAGTGAAAATATTGGAGATAGCAATTGGTGCTGGAAGGGATAGATGGTAGTTTCAGCAGTATAAAACCTACACAATCGTGTATTCAGACTACACAAAGACCAGTCCAAGACACCCAAAATCAGTTAATTTATTTTTTTTAGAATAAAATCAGTACTCGTCCTGTCAAGAATACTATATATAAGTTTTCTGAAGCCTGTTGATGAGTGTTAAATTCTAAATAACTTTTTTCCAATTCTGTATAGAATGTGAAGGAAAAATTGGGCCAAGTTGCACGTTCCATCAGTCAGCCTTTACCCACTGGTGAGAGAAGCTTACTTGTTTATCTTTTTGGAAATATTTCATCTGTTTGATTGGTCTCCTCTCTACACACAAGTACATGGGCCAAGTTTCCCCTTTTTCTCTTGTTTTTCTTAATAATATTTTATTCCTGTCAGAAAAAGGAAAAATCCAGCCTGTTTGATTAGATCATGTTTGGCTTTAATCATCATTTGGTTATTTCTTTTACACAAAAATCTTACACTGTTGCATAATAACCTTCAAGTCAGGATATCTTTTATGAGTTTAATCAGAACCTTACCATGGATTGTTGATTTAGATTGAAATATGAATTCAACAAATTAGAACTGCAATATAGATAATTGATAAGAGAACAAGAAAGTATGGAAGGGTAATTGCTTGGTGCAATGGTAAAATCTCTTATTGACAAGTATGAGAATACAGTCTCAAGAGTCAAGTCTGAGAGCAGCTACCTAGTGCAAGAAAATGCTGAAGTAGGTATGTGATGTAAGTTGTCTTCCCCCCTGAGACTTCGGATATCCAAGACCAGCATTGGGTAATGGCCTTCTTTAGAAGATAACAAAAAGGGGTAGGTCATAGAAGTCCCATAAATCCATTATGTAACATTACTTGCCAACAAGAGACAGAGGAAGGAAGAAGAGGAGAGGAATTGGAGTTGTAATTTTATGATTGAAAGCCCCCATGGACTTGCACTAACAAGAAACTAGAAGAACCACACTTCTTTATTCTATGGGTTTTGCAACACAAGAAATCAAAACCAAAGCCAAAATCTTCTTTCCAAATTTATAGCCATCTATTGCAAACCATATTCCCTATAATTTCCTCTTCTAGATATGAAGACACTTGCTATCATGCTTGTATTAGGGGTAGGATTTGAAAATTAAAATGCACCAAATCTCTCACCTATTACAACTGTGACAGTTGACATAAAAAAAAAAAAAAAACAAAAACAAAACTTGTAGAGCCAATTTATAGTTTCCTAGGAATCATATTATTCCTGAAATACTAGGAATGAATTCTTCTACATCTTTTCTTTGTGGTTGCAACTCTTTGAAATAACATCTGAACTGTGTTATCTTGTCTTTCAAAAGCTTTCAAGCATACCACTATAAAGGTCTTTGTGCATGTTTTGACATAGAAAATTGGTGCCAAAAGTGAATTGGCAAACTTGAAACTGTACTTTGATTGGTTTCAGTTAGAGTTCCAAATATTACCAAAAAATGCTGAGTTCCAATTAATTGGGCAATGAATAAATTTATGGGCAGTTTGCATCCTGAACCACCAAACAATGAGGCAAACCTCATCATCAACTTGATGAAAGATGGTGAATTAGTAAACTATGAAGTTGAAGTTTTGGACTTAAGAAATCTATTAAAATCAAACTGTATAGGTCATTATGTAGGACAGGTAAGAAGTCCTACAATTCTTATATCTGGTGGTGTGTTTTGTAGGGTGAAGAAAGCTGACTTTGGTGATCAAGGATGAATGGTATAGCTGAAGGAAGTAGATTAAGTCATCAACCACCAAAGAATGAGGGGAGATTAAAAAGAAGGAAAAAAACTTGTGCTGTTGGAAGAAAATGCAAAGAGATTGCTTAGAAGAAGAATTAATTTAGGGAGAGAGAGAATACCTACCTACATCCAGTACTCACTAAGCTAAGTTATATTTAATAACATAGTTCTTTTCAATTACATCTCCATTTTTAGAGTCATAAGATTGCAAGTCTTTCCTTACAGGTAGGGGTGATCATGGGTCAGGCCAGGCATAGCACCTATTATAAGAGGCATAGCCCATGCCCTGGTCTGCACCCCAGACCTCAAATGTAAACCTAGGCCTGGACCTACATGGGCTTGGGCCGGGCTTTGGGGCCTAAAAACCTAGGCCCAATCTTAGAATTTTGTGGGCTAGGCTAAGATCACCCCTACAAAACAAGAGGGAAGGGGGAGGGAGGGAGAGACTGACCCAAAACAACTTCTAATTGCTTTTAATTCTATCCTAAGACAACAGTGTAGAAAGTAAATTTGAAAACTCAATAATACCAATACCTCACTTATCCAAAAATTGTGAATAAATGAATTCATGTTGGAATCAAAAGAAAACTGAAGTTCTCCATAGCTTCTTTCCCTGCTGTCATGGTCTAATAAGTTTTCTACATGCCATTCACATTTAGTAAGATTTATTAGATAGATGATTAACTCAACCATATTTGTTCTCTCCTCCTTATGATATGCCATCTTTGTAATCATGCAATGCACTTACAAGAGGTCTCATTTTGAAGTTGTTTCTTTCCTATTTTATGGTTTCGTAGATTATTTATTATTTTTTCTATTAGTTTCATGGATATTTTTACACATGCCTCCTTTATGGAAGTTAGGGGCCATTACTTGGTGTAATGATAAAATCTTGGGCTGGCAAGTGTGAGAACACGGGTTTGAGTCTGAGGCAGTTCTGTGTGAAAAAATGCCAAAGATTAGGACCGCATCCAGTTTAACCCTACCAAGACCCCAGATAATTGGTTCCAACATTGGGTGATGGCCTTTTTACTTCTGTGTTAAGCTATAAATATGGTGCATTTTAACAAGGTCATTGGCAAAGAATTAGTAATTCTTGAACTTTTTGTTTAGTTTCCCTCTTTTATTTGTGTGAGACGTGTTGGAGCATGCTCATGAAACTGTGTATAAGCAAGATTATGAGCTTTGCTATATATCATTATATCTAATATTTGACATGATTTTTTTTCTTTTGCAGCTGATACAACATTCTTTAAGGTTAGTTTTCTTTTGTTTAACTATTCTGCAGTATGGCAATTATAATGATATCTTTGTAAATGACTGGGTTATTTTAGGGGAGAACAATCCCCTTCCCTGCACCACATTGTGTCATGCTTTTAAGGTGGTTAACTTCACTTTTTGATTAGTCTTTACCTTGGAGATCTACTTTGTCAAAGATCAACCAAATTAGTTGACCTAATAGACTGGCTTGTTCACAACTTCACATCTGGTAACTATGGGGAATAGTCAAATGTCTTACAAGTCACAAGTAACAAGACAACAAATTAAGGGAAAAAAGATTAGAAAAGAAGCCAACAATTTGGGGAATAGTCAAATGTCTTTCCCTTGGTTTCAGGTTTAGGACCAAGCAAGTGGCAATTAACTCTATATTAAGCTCTTTTGATTTCTCAATCACGTGTCATATTCTTTTATTTTCTTTTGGATTCTTGGATAACCATAAAAAGGAGAATATTCCGGGTGAGAAAGGGCCAAAAAATGTACTTCAGTTGGATGGTTATGGTGTGGTTGATATGAATGTAGGAAATCTCTCTGGTGAAGAGGACATAGTGCGGAGGCAGGGAGAGTGAGCTCTCCCATCCTCCAGTACTTAGGAAAAGCATGCACCATCTTGTTACTGCTTGATCCAATTTAACTGATCTTTGGTCAGTGTTACATGTGAAGGTACCATTTGAAGAGGTCCCAGATCTTGTTTCTGGTCGAAGAGTATTTATTCTTAAAGGTTATGCATATGTTGCTATGAATCAGGTGAATCTTCATTTTTGTTATTTGTTTAGTCCTTTCATTTTAGATTTTACCTACAACTAGCAGATTCATGTATCTTCAGTTTCTCTCTAAATCTACTCAATAATATTTACATGTTTGTTCTTCGTAGGTGGTTTCCCTTGTTGTCACGCAATTCCGTAGTCTTTTATCAAAGGCTCTTGTTCTGACAAACAGGTTATTGTTACATCTCTTGGTATTCCCATTTTCTATTATTAGAATTGATAATTTGGTGGAAAAATATTTCCTCAAAGATGCCATATGGTTTGTTAGTTAAGTTTTAAATTTATGATGCTGCATTTTTTTCAGATTTGAAATTTGTTTTATGATATCTAATATAAAAGTGCAACTAGTGTCAGTTATTAAGTCAGGTTATTATCATTATCATATCCCTTGTTCTTCCTATTCTTTCTAGTTATGCTTCCCAGTCTGCAGGTTTCAAATGCTTTGAACCCCAAATTTCTGGCTGCCATATGATAGGTAGTAGGAAGATCATTTTGCCCTTTCATATGTAATTTTCTTATTACCAAACCCCATTTTATTGGAAATGCCTTTATCACATAATGGCATTTTTGTAACAAATGCTATGCCTTTGTTGAATGATAAGCATAACAGTGCTCAAATTATCATGAAAAATCCCATTGTATTTCAGATTGCTCTTCTATTCTCTATGTTAGTAATTGATTTGAAAATCACCATTGGCCTTTATCGTCAAACTCAAATATTAGGCTTTGGTTTTCCTGTATTTGTTACCATGGTTTATTTGCTTATGCTTGGCTGTTTAGATAATTAATTCAATTGGCTTTGCACTGATCATGTGATTTTCATTAATTCTCAGGCCCGAGTTCATGTTATTGGGGCTTGAACATTTAATTAATGTTGTGAACTAATGACATATGCATGATAAGGTTGAGAGTCAGTGACTGCACCATCTTTTAGTTGGAAGATCTAAAAGATGGTTAACTGCTTCTGTCTGAAGGGTATTATGGAACTATGTATAGGTCCATTGATATGGGCAAAGGAGTCAAACTTGTGTTATTTGCTTGGAATGTTCATTATGGGGAAAGCTATTAGACCCCTATATGACTAATATCCATCAAATAGAAGTACAATGTATAGTCAAGAACTTTTAGTTTGTTAAAGAATCTTATTTAATGAAATGCAAAGTATTTATTGATGGCATTCAAAGAATAAGCGTTATCTATCAAAAAAAGTTGAAAGAATGAGAGAGCAACAAGACTGCTACCCTAAATACAGTGAGTGACTACCCATCTTGATAATTTCTATCATCCCTGGTACAGCCATTGTAAATTCCCCTTGTTTTCCACCATAATGGCATGATGCCCAGTTGTTGGTTCCAGTATATTCTTGTTTCAATATGTAAAAAGAATCTTATAGTCCATTTTAACATTTTCCCAAGTTCTGTCTTTTAAAGCTTTGGCAATTTAACATGGTTCCTAAAATACTTTAACCAATCAAAACCTCACGTGAACTAGTACATCCCCTTGTCCAATTCTCAGCAGTATTCTCATTTATGATTCTAACAAATAATATCACTTCTTTGTAGACATTGTCTTACTATTTTATTACAAATAGAAGTTTACATCCCTTAGGAGGTTAACATTTAAAAACTTTTCTTGCAGAAAATGGACATCTACAATTAGAGAGCAGGAGAAGGATCGGTTGGCTCCTGTAAGTATTAAATGTATTTAAGTTCCATTGTAGCTCATATATTGTGAAGCTTGTAAATGAAAAAGGAATTTAACTTACTCAGTACAGTGCTTGACAAGTATATTGTCTCTTGTAGATTGTGGAAGCACTAAGCACAAGCTACATAGGTCCTGACTATTCTCAGGTACTTTAGTTCACTGTTCATTTGTTACTATGGGGTCCCTGACAAAGAAGTTCAAGTTTGTTGATCACTAATGTTACCTTGCAGCCAAAAGGATGTGCAGAGATATCAATAAGGGATATTGATCAAATAGCTAATAGTTCCTTTCCTCTTTGTATGCGCCATCTGTTTGAAAAGGTAAGAAGCTTGGGATTCAAAGGTATAGCGAGTTTAGTTTGTATATGCCCTTTACTTTTTTCCTTTTCTATTTCTTTTTCTTTTCCTAGTGCATTTGTGGTTTAAGTCATATTGCTTTCTATTTTTGTATCTTGTAAGTTAAAAAAACTTGCTATTCATATGCAGCTAAGAGAAGATCATCATTTAAAGCACGGAGGAAGGATGCAATTGGGTCTTTTCCTCAAGGCAATTTTCTTTTGCATACAGATCCTTTATTCACATGTATTATTTGTTGGGCATGTATTCATAGTGCTTTCTAGTGCCTTGTATTTCCAGGGTGTTGACTTAAAATTGGATGATGCCCTTGCTTTCTGGAAAGCAGAGTTTTCTCAGAAGGTACATTTTGATCAAGTTTTTCTATACTTAACTTTTTCATGAAATGTATGCAAAATATGCACATTTTATATGAATTGCATTGCTTAAAATTTAAAACAATTGAAATGTATGCATGATAACTCAGTTTAGAATATAGTTTTTTTAATTGTAAAAAATTGTGGCTGTACTGTACTTTTGTGCATTTTGAATTATTCAGTTTTTGTGTACATGTCTTGGTTGTCTTTGACTCTAATCTGTATTAGCTTTCAATAATTAAGCAATTATGGTTCTTAAAATAATTAATGTTAAATATGACCATACTTTATATTGAATATCAATTATTGTATGCAAGTGGTATAGTTGCCATTATTACCTACTCGTATCATGCCTATAGGATGAAAGTTGGTGTAAAGTCATTTTTCCTATTTTTGGGAGTCTAGTATTTTCTTAACAGTTGTAACAACTTTTAGAAAATCAGAAAAAATGATCTTTTGATTTATGATACTACTCATGATACAATTTGATTCAAACCCTCTTATGATTTAGAATACAAATATGATTTTCAAAACATTGTGTAGGACAAAAATTGATTCAGCAACTGTAATATCTATTTCTTGTGACGGTGGGTCTAGGAAGGTAGTAATGGGCTTAGGTTAGACTAACATAAATCTAGGAAGGTGGAAAGGGCTTAGGTCTTTTCTATCATGGAACTACTGCTGTGCATTTGACCAACATACACTTTTGTTACCTGCATCAATATGCATGCAGTCTGTGTGTTGTGCATTTGACCAACACACATGCACACATGCATCACTCATGTACATCTGCATGAGAACAAGATGGCAGCCAACTTTGATATGAACGTTTCTCTACTATAGGTTGGTGCTGAGAGATTTGAGAAGGAATATGCATACAGCATACGCCACAACTATGGGAAAGAAGGAAAGAGAACAGTAAGACATTATCTGCCGCCCGCCCCTTTAACTGAATCGTCCGGTATTATATTTAAAAGGTTAAACTTGGTCAATGTTGCAGGATTACACTCCTTATTCTTGTCAAAAAATCATCTCATCAACACCAGGCGTAGGGGATCACCATGGCTGCCCCTATCGACACTTCAGGTCAAAAATCTCTTTGTACACCTATTCACAGTGATATGACTGCAAAATGATAAATAGATAATACCCAAGGAGCTTTGCTTCTTTTAGAAAGCAATGATATCCGGCACATTTATCAGGTTGCTGAGTCCTGTCTTGAGTGGTAATGGGGATTTACTTATTTGAGGCACCTAGCTTACTATTCTATTTTTCAAGAGTAGTAGCATTCTGATGATAATCAATTAAGATGTAAATCCATTGTTAGTTGGTGGTCTAATAAACATAGTGGTACATTTATGCACTTCTAACTTGTTAGTTTATTTTATGGACTTCTTAATTTAAAAGTGAGGAGAACTTGAGGACTGCTCTTGGGAAAATGGGAGTAAGTGGTCGTACTGCAGAGGAAGTGATGGACAAAGTCCGGAACAGGCATTATCAGGTTCTAAGATTTCTATAGCCTCTAATACTTGCAAAAAAAATCTTTATTTATGCATTAATTACAAAACAAAATATTTGCAGTTGGCTTGCACCTTGACATTTGAAGCTATCCATGGCTCCTCCTGTGATGCTGGGATCAACCATCCAAACCAGTACTTCAGTGACAGTCAAAAGATCCTGCAATCAAAGGTTGGTGCATTCTTAAAGGCTGAGCCCAATAATAGGTCCATGCAAAGCATAATAGACATTTGGTATGATGTATTTTCCTAGAAAACGCATCTTGAAATCTTGTTCAGAGTACAGAGTACTTATTCCCTAGATGTGGTCCACATACAGAAGAATTGGTTCTCACCACTTAATAGTCTTATTTATATTTTACTGGCAAATATTAATCTGAATGGTGATCATAACCATCTTAGTACAAAATCATTTTGGTTTCTCATAAACAATATACCAAATGGTCCAATAACAACAAACGTAGTGATTCAATGATATGAAATATCCAACTGGATTGGATTCTTTGCTGCAAGAATCCAATGAGGGTGGGCCTTGGCACAATGGTTGGGTTGCTCCATTGTGACCTGGGTGACCAGGGTTCAAATCTTAGAAGCAGTCTCTGTATGTGCAAGGATAATACTGCATACATCTGTCCCTCCCCAGACCCCAAATTGGTGGGAGCCTTGTGCACTGGGCTGCCCTTTTCCCCTGTTTTTGTATGATTAATTACAGGTGATCAGGAGACAGATTTAACTCTTTCCCCTGTTTTTGTTTTTGGTTATTATCCCTTTTCAGAAGAATGAGACAAGTTAAGGAGGCTCACTTCAGGGTGTCACAAGAGACTGTATGTTAGAACCCACTCCTGGTAAGTATTTGAACTCAGCTACCTGAACTGCCTAATTCAGATGCTTACTCATTTTTCATTTCTAGCATTGCGACTGTTATTATTAGTCACCTATTTTTAGTGGATAATGGGATTTGAACCTATAAACTCATTGACTTTAGGTCTCATTGCTGCAGACTAACCAACTGATCAAATCTCAAACCTTGCCACACCCCTCCCCCCTCCCAAATAGATTAACCATTGTTTAGAAAACCAGATCGGACAAGCCGGTCGAACCGGTTAAACTGTGACATGGCCCTTTGACCAGTTTGGTCATACATTCAAAACTGTAATTCATGAAAAACCATTTAAAACTGGCTGACCATCCTGTTTGACTGGAAAACCAGTGAAGGCTCTTGATTTTATTAAACCGCCTTGGTTATAATATTAATAGAAACTTCAAAATGTTAATAACAAGATTTGGTTGGCCCTCGCCCCAAGTGCTCTTGTTGGCTGTTCTGCTACTAAGAATATTAGAATTGCATGTATTCTTTGTTGTTTTCAGGGGAGATTATTGGGAGAATGGCATGCCGATGCCATTGCGTGTGGCAGCATCCACTACATGGCACGAAAAAAAGCATGTATGCAACATGGGGTAGTTCAAGTTCGCATATTGGCAGTCACGCATATCAATAAAACAGCGATGTATTCCTATTGAACTGCTATAAAGTTTGAGCTTAAAGAGTACCCTGTAAGGCTGAAACTTGTGGGGCGTGCTATGCCCCGTTCTGTGTAAAGTGGTGTTACTGGTGATTTTGTAGTTTGTACTATGCCCTTGTGTATACAGATTAGAGACGCGGATGTTTGGATGCTTATTAATAATTATTCAATCGACAGTGAGACAGGTTGAAACAAGTATCCATCATTTATTAATTTCATAAAGATTTACACTGTATATGAAATTACTCAATTAGCTAATTTCATCCTTCACTTTACACTTACGGTAAAATACAAAAACCTCCCCTAAAGTTTCTTAAAATCATAAAAATCTTCCCTATAGTTTCATTTTAGCCAAAACCTCCCCTTTGTTTTTGAAAAATTCAACAAATACCTCCCTTCCGTCAATAACCAAAACGGAAAACGTTAAAGAGATAAACATTTTTCAAAATACCTATTTTACCCTTTTATGAATTAATGTGCATCTATTTTTGTATTTTACCCAAAAAAATGTGGGGTTTTCTTTTCTTTTTCTTCTCTCCACTTGGACCACTCCCTCTCTCTCTCTATCTCTCTCTCTCTCTCTCTCTCTACTCTACGTCTGTGGTCTGCTTATGCCAAAAGAAGCAAAAGTCCATCAACATTCATCAGTGCCCGTCCTCCGTCAAATCCAGTCGTCCATTCTCTTGAAGTGCTAGCACCACTGCTCAACCAACCTCCTCCGGCCGAGCCACCCCCTCTAAAAATCACTTCCCATGCTCTTTCCCTCTTCCTGCCATCTTTGTAACTATCTCTACAACCACTCTCGCCTCTGTGCCGATCTCGTTACATCTCTGTCGCCAATCCTTCTATCTCCACCATTGTCTTCACCACCTCTGCAACT